ACGAAATAATGAGGTGGTGTGTACCAGGTGTACCAGGCGTTGCCCCCCCCCCCCTGCATAAAGAAGAGAGAGAGAGAGAGAGAGAAGGAGAGAAATGGAAAGAGGAGAGAAAGGGAAAGAAACAAGAGGAAGAAGAAAATATAAGGAGGAAAGGAGATCGGGGGGGGGGGGCAAAAGGCCCTGCCTTCCAGGCTTTTGCCTCCCCCCTCAGTCAAAAAAAGAGAGAAGGAAGGAAAGGGAAAGGAAAAAAAGAAAGAGGAAATAAAGGGAAGGAAAAAAGAAAAGAGGAATTAAAGGGAAGGAAAAAAAGAAAAGAGGAAATATAGGGAAGGAAAAAAAGTGGAAGAAGATAAGAAAAGAAGGAGGATATCAGTTGCGATTTTCCCGCCAACAAGTTGTGGATCGGAGGGGGCCAAAGGCCCTTGCCTCCCTCCCCCCTCCCCCATCAAACTTAAAAGAGAGAGAGAAGGTAGGAAGGAAAGAGAAGGGAAGAAGAGAGAGAAAGGGAATGCAACAACAAAAAAGAGGAAGAAGAAAGGTAGGGGAGATCAGTTGCGATTTTTTTCCCGCCAACAAGGTGTGAATCGGAGGCCGAAATGCCCTTGCCTCCCCCCCCTCAGCAAAAAGAAAAAGAAGAGAGAAAGAGAGAGAGAGAGAGAGAGAGAGAGAAAGAGAGAAGGGAAGGAAAGGGAAAGGGAAAGAGGAAAGAAAGGGAAAGAAAATAAAGAGGAAGAAGAAAATAAAAGGGGAAAAGAAGGGAAGATCATTTGCGATTTGTATAGCTTCTTCTATCATCATTGTACAAAAATCATTGTACAAATGTATTTAAAATATATTTGTTTATTTATTCCTGTTTGATAACATTGATATGAATACAAACTCATAACAGCAACAAAAGAAAATGCAGATTGAAACTATAATGCAGGCAGAAAGAAACGCAAAAATGACCATGCATTTGCATGTAAGTGTATCATTAGAATTATTAATATTGTTCTATTACATCTTTGGAAAAATTATGCATTCAAGCTTTTGGAACTTTCTTTGTGTATTTGTATCAAAGGAAGCGTTTGGAACTTATATGCACATGATGCAATTTCAGGTGCAATTTAATGCGTGAAACGCCTTGTCGAATACTCGAATACTCTTTGATTGTTGTTTAACCTTTTATACAGTAATACAGATAGGCACTAATATAGCACATCGACACGGTTTTGATCCTGGGGGCTCACAGTAACGAGGCCATTGCTTAGCCAATGAATCATGACTTTACGCAGCGGGCTCTAGGGTACGTCGACGCCCCCACAAAGACAAAACAAACAAAAAAAAACACAAAGAAAATGCGATACATTTTCAATAATTTATTGCTTTTCCCCCGACCCCCAACATTAAAACTTCTATGTGGGCATGCCTTGAACCATAATGCATGGCCTTACAGGGCTGATGGATCATGGGTTAAAACCATCTCAAAGCTCATTCAGTTATCCACGCCTGCCTTTGTATGGATGGGTTGCCAAAGGAACGGCGCCACTGGGTATGGCAGTTGCCGCGTTCCAGGTAACTTTTCACATTTAATTTATTTTAATCGATATCACCTAATTTTTCGTACCACATAGCTATAATAAAAGTACATTATACTTTTAATATGGTGCGATGCATAATATTAACAAATTCAAACAATATTATAGTAGAGGTATCATGGTCTAGTAGATATGTTACTGGACAGCGGATCACAATGGTTCTCAGTTCGAATCTCACCGCGGCACTATTGTCCTTTGGCAAGGAAATTATCGACATTTGCAACTTGATGCGATGTAGTTGAATTAGAGCATGTGTGCGCTTGTAAAATGACGCCTGCATGACCTTTAGTTTTATCTGAGGTTCTTGCTGATAAGGATGTATGCCTTACCAAGGGGCACTAGTGCATAGGCCTGGTTTCGAACGAAGGACCTCCCGGTTACGAGACCACTGCTCTACCACTAAACCACCACGCCTCCTTTCATTTGAACTTATTCCAGATTGCTCGAGTAATCCCTGTCTAAATGGAGGCCACTGTGGGGAAACCGTGAATGCTTTCGTTTGTCACTGTCAGGCTGGAGTATCTGGATCCAACTGCGAAACAGGTAAGAGGGGTCAGGGACTCCAACTGCGACTACATGATGTGAAAAGAGAGGGCGTGGAGGGTGGGGGGGGGGGCAAACTGAGGGGCGAGCGAGCCGCCGGGAGACAATTTTTTTTCTTCTTCTTCTCACGAAACAATGGCAAAACGAGTCAGTAAATGCTTATGTACTGACTTTTGTCAATGTTCGGAATTGTAATATATTTATGGCATTTATGATTATAATCAAGTATATTTCACTCTCATAGTGTTAAGGATATATAAAAGTTTTTTCTTCTTCTCACGAAACAATGGCAAAACGAGTCAGTGAATGCTTATGTACTGATTTTAGTCAATGTTCGGAATTATAATATACTTAAGGCATTTATAATTATAATCAAGTATATTTCACTCCCATAGTGTTAAGGATATAGAAAAATATACTAGAACCACCGTCTATTTTAATCTTTAACACGAGACTGTTAAAATGAATATATTATTTCATGTTTTGTGTAAAGAAAGAATAATTAAAATAAAAAAAGGCCTTCAATTCTTCATTTTTTTTAATTCTTGTGTGTTTTTTGAATCACTGATCCTTAAAAAAAAAACTGCACACTTTTGTCTGTGTGAAATAATCTTAGTACAAGATGGATAGATAGAAATGTTTTTTATTAAATAGATCATCGCAGCCAATGGCTGAATTGCGATCCATTTCACAAGGTTATATACAGTACGATTGCAATTCAAATTGAAATAACACAAAATATGACATAAATCAAATAATCAAACATATAGACATTTCATAAAAATTCATTGATCAAATTAAAAAAAATTGTTTAAAAAAAAGAAAAGAAAAAAAGAAAGAGATAGGGAGAGGTGTAGGAGTGGGAGCGATGGAGTGATGACAAAGAGAGAGAAGGAGAGAAAGAGCGAAAGAAAGAGAGAGAAGGGGGACGAAAGAGAGAGAGAGAGACGGAAAGAGAGAGGAGAGAGAGAGGGAGAGAGAGAGTTGAAGAGAGGAAGAGACAGACAAAGGGTACCTTATCATTACAGATGAGGGGAGATGGCAAGAAATATTCAGTAATGCAGATAATTGAGATAAAAACTATCAAAATTCATTCACATAGTTCAATCATAGACTGTGAAATTCTAAAAATACAATTTATATTGGTATTACATTTTATTCAGAAGATTTATAAAGTAAGAAAGAGAGCTGCAAGAGTTATCCAAGGTTTTTCCATTGTGTTTGCTACCTTTTATGAGTTGATATATTGAGATCTCTCGATTAAAAAAAACCCTCATGAAAATCGATTGACAGCATAATCAATCGCGCACCTGTAATTATCCATTTCATTTTCACCAAGCAACCCAAAGGATGCAATGACATTAAACTGATTTTACACCCATTAGGCGAACGTTATTAAAGGAAGGCAGCCTTTTCTTTTTTTTTCTCTAAATGGCCCAATATGAGTTTTAATTGTCACATGCAGGGTTACGCCTTGTCGCAATACAGTGACAGGGCGATGGAGGAAATGAGAATGGAGATGAGGAGGGAAAGAGAGAAAGAGAGACAGAGAGATGGGAAGAGGTACAGACACAGCGAGAGGAGAAAGAGAGAGAAAGAGAGAGAGAGAGAGAGAGAGAGAGAGAGAGAGAGAGAGAGAAATTATAGAATGAGAGAAAGAATGAGGTTTAGTGAAATATAAGTATAAGTATAATAAGTACAATAATTTATTGTCCTTTTCAGGAAATTTGGTTTCCACTGGTTACAGAGTATTACAATACAAATATATAAATGAAATATTACAGGACAGTGATAAACATATTACGATAAACATATAATGAATATTACGAGTAAGCCACGGTATATATGGTGGTTATAGAAGTAATATCAGATTCCATTTTACAAAATATGAAGCTAAATTATTTAATATCATTGATTATTCCATAGTAAATCTTAAATAATGATAATGAATACATACATTATTATTATTATTATTATTATTATTATTATTATTATTATTATTATCATTATTATTATTATTATTATTATTATTATTATTATCGATTACCATTTTCAGTAGTATAATTATTACCGACATCGTTATTATTGCTAACTTTTTTGGTGACACATAGATTGTAGTTACTGGCTCAATTGGTAACTCATAGTTCGATGCAATATTCATGGCATATGTTTGAAATTGATATCATATGACATTTATATTGATACATTGACATGGTAGGTTCATTGTAATCAAACACGTTTTGCTTTGGAATTGAAAAGATGAATGGAGTCGGGGATAAAGGATCTTCGGAAAAGGGCACGTTGAGTTCGCGGTGTGCACAGAGAAATAGGAGAAATGAGTGATACGGAGAGAGAGAGGGGTAAAGAGAGAGAGAGAGAGAGAGAGAGGGAGCTGAAAGGGAATACAAAAAGGGCGAAATTTAGTACTAAAAGTGTGGGGCGAGAGAGACAGACTGAGACCACATTTTGTTCAAGAGCTAGAGATACAGACCCAAACATGAGATACATACAAACATACAAGAATAGCATTTGTGTCTTTTGATGATCATGCACAAGTTAAATCACTATCCCAACATGAAACTAAATTATACTTAGAAATGGTCTCGATTTTTTTTATATATACAAAATATAGCTTTGATTTATCTATTAACTTTGCTTCGTAATTAGGCTATAATTATGCATCAGTACCCGGGTTTCCTCGTTCATGGAAGCAGACAATATACAGTGCATAATTAATATCCCCAATCGATAGTCATGTCGGAGACCATCAACGCCGATTAAAGAGGTGAATAGAATCATTGTTTTGCAATCTTCTCGCACGGCGATAGCTTTAATTAAATGTCTTGACGACACCCCAACTCCACATAACGTTTGATGTGTATTGGTGATCCAGCCTTTGACCAGAATTCCAGAAGAGAGCATTATTTTGTTCTCATCATTTCAGTTTGATGATTGTTTTAGCGGCATGCAACACGAATTTGAAGTCTCAAATGATGACGTCATCGTTACCATTGATAATAATCATGGGACAGGTAAGAATATTACTGTTTCCATTAATTTCTGAATTTTTGTGTAACATTAACGTTTAATTTTAGCCATTTGCCGACAAAATGTGAAACATGCCATTCAGAGTCTCTATATAGGCTTATCCATTTTAGGGCGTTCTTGCAGCTTTCATTTGACTTCGGTGTTTGATCAAATGAAAGTGTCTTTGGAGCATTATTGTCATGTAATCTAAAATGTAGTTATTCTTTAAAATCAAAGGAACGATGGTAATGATATCTAAACAGCTATTAATTTGAATTGGTTCTTGCGATAGAGTCCACGTTTAGGCTGAAGCAAGTTAATATGAAATGAAACGCTGGTTTTTGTTTTGATTTGTTTTGATTTGATATGATTAGTTGTTGTTTACTTTATAATTTTTACCTTATTATTTGTTGACTGTATAATACCAAACTACGGTATTTCTTTTTTTGATCAGTCCGTTATGATAGTTAATCAACTGAGAAAGACGTAAATAACTCCCATTAGCCGTGTACAAAAATATCATTAATTTCTGTTTTTCTCGTAAGTTCCTTCACCCTTGGGGCACTACTCAAAATATATTATAGAAAGCAGTGGCGGATCCAGGGGGGGGCCGAAACGGCCGCGGCCCCCCCTATTGGCGGCGCAAAAAAGGGAAGAAAAGAAGAGAAAAAAAGAAAGGAGAAGAGGAGAAAAAAAGGAGAAGAGAAAAGAAAGGAGGAGAGAAAGGAAAAAAGAAGAGAAAAGAAAAGAGAAGAGAAAAGAGAAGAGAAAAGATAACGAAATTATTGAATAGAGGGGGCCGGGCCGGCCGCATAAAATCTCGAGCCGCGGATTCAAAGTTAAACGTTAAGAACAGCCCCTGCGCTACATGAGGTCATCACTCTGAAGTGAGAAATTTGAAAGGACACAATATTTGGGTGTCTTTTAAATAGAAGTTATATACTCAACAGTCAAATTTTAAATTAACGGTAGGGCCGCTTCACAACTCTTATTTTGCCCTTTATTTGGATTCAGCTAATACTAACTCGCTTGTGCTTGTATTTAAACTCATGTTGGTAGTAATCATGGACAGGGGCGGCAATCCTGGGCCCGATAGGGGGACACGTCCCCCAGGAAATTTAGAAATATAGCTAGAAAGAAATATAGCGGAAAGAACGTACATATTGGGCTCAGGGATTTTCTAGAATGCAGAATTTCAGCATTCAACATTGAAAAAATCTCGCTTGGTCGCTACGCCCCGGCCGGCCACGGCCCTCGCCCGATAACACAAAACTATGACGCTCCCGGCCGTGATTTATCCATGGTTGGTGTAATAGATCTTTTTTCCATTTCATTTACACTAACATAATTGTGTGCCATCACAATCATGATTGTTTCATCTTCCCTTTAAAGCAGGCGCGTAGCCAGGGACGGTTGGGGCAGTAAGATGACATAGGCCGAAAAAGGAGCAGACAAAGATACATTTTTGAAAATTCTGACAGTCGAGAACGGTACAACGAATCGTCTTCTTTCTCTAATAATTTAATGAAATGTCAAAGCTTCCGCGCATCTCTCGGGAGGGGGCAACTGAATTCAGACAAGGATTGGGAGTCGATAATGGTAAAACGAATCGTCTTAACTTTGTCTAATAGTTTAATGAAACGTCAGAAGTTTACGCGCTACGCACGGGTAGGGGAAAACTGAATTTAGACAAGGAGTCAAGAATGGTAAAAATAATCGTCTCCTTTCCCTTATAATTTAATGAAAGGTCAAAGCTTCCGCGCTTCGCGCGGGAGGAGGGGGGGGGGGGGGGGAAGGGGGACTCAATTCAGACAAGGATTAAGAGTCGAGAACGGTACAACGAATCGTCTTCTTTCTCTAATAATTTAATGAAACGTCAAAGCTTTCGCGCTTTGCGCGGGAGAGGGGGGGGGAACTCATTTCAGACAAGGATAAAGAGTCGATGACGGTACAACGAATCGTCTTCTTTCTCTAATAATTTAATGAAATGTCAAAGCTTCCGCGCATCTCTCGGGAGGGGGCAACTGAATTCAGACAAGGATTGGGAGTCGAGAATGGTAAAACGAATCGTCTTCTTTGTCTAATAGTTTAATGAAACGTCAGAAGTTTACGCGCTACGCGCGGTCCGGGAAAACTGAATTCAGACAAGGATTTAGAGTCGAGAATGGAACAACGAATCATCTTCTTTCTCTAATAATTTAATGAAACGTCAAAGTTTCCGCGCTTCGCGCGGGAGAAAACTGAATTCAAACAAGGAATAAGAGACGAGAATGGTACAACGATTCGTCTTCTTCCTCTAATAATTGAATGAACCGTCAAAGTTTACGCGCTACGCACGGGCAGGGGAAAACTGAATTTAGACAAGGAGTCGAGAATGGTAAAAATAATCGTCTCCTTTCCCTTATAATTTTATGAAAGGTCAAAGCTTCCGCGCTTCGCGCGGGAGGAGGGGAGGGGGGGGGGGGGAAACTCATTTCAGACAAGGATAAAGAGTCGATGACGGTACAACAAATCGTATTCTTTCTCTAATAATTTAATGAAATGTTAAGCTTCCGCGCAAAGCGCAGAAGGGGGAGCTGAATTCAGACAAGGATTAAGAGTCGAGAATGAAACAACGTATCATCTTCTTTCTCTAATAATTTCATTATACTATGAAAGAACAAAGCTTCCGTGCTTCGCGCGGGAGGGCGGGGGGGAGGTGGCTGAATTCAGTCAAGTTATAATTAATCTTCTTTCTCTAATAATTAATGTAAAGGTCAAAGCTTCCGCGCTTCGCGCGGGAGGGGGGGGGGAGCTCAATTTAGACAAGGATTAAGAGTCTAGAACGGTACAACAAATCATCTTTTTTCTCTAATAATTTCAATTTAAACTATAAAAGGTCAGAGCTTCCGCGGGAGGGGGGGAATTCAGACAAGGAATACGAGTCGAGAATGGTACAACAGATCGTCTTCCTTCTCTAATAATTTAATAAAAAGTCAAAGCTTCCGCGCTTCGCGCGGGAGAGAGAAACTAAATCCAGACAAGGATTAAGAGTCTAGAACGGTACAACGAATCATCTTTCTCTAATAATTTCAATTTAAGCTATAAAAGGTCAATGCTTCCGCGCTTTGCGAGGGAGGGGGAAAACTGAATTCAGACAAGGAATACGAGTCGAGAATGGTACAACAAATCGTCTTCTTTCTCTAATAATTTAATGAAACGTCAAAGCTTCCGCGCTTCGCGCGGGAGGGGGAAAACTGAATTCAGACAAGGATTAAGAGTCTAGAACAGTACAACGAATCATCATTCTCTAATAATTTCAATTTAAACTATAAATAGTCAAAGGTTCCGCGCTTTGCGCGGTTGGGAGAAAACTGAATTTAGACAAGGAATACGAGTCGAGAATGGTACAACAAATCGTCTTCTTTCTCTTATAATTTAATGAAACGTCAAAGCTTCCGCGCTTCGCGCGGGAGGGGGAAAACTGAATTCAGACAAGGATTAAGAGTCTAGAACGGTACAACAAATCATCTTTTTTCTCTAATAATTTCAATTTAAACTATAAAAGGTCAGAGCTTCCGCGTTTTGCGCGGGAGGGGGGAATTTAGACAAGGAATACGAGTCGAGAATGGTACAACAAATCGTCTTCTTTCTCTAATAATTTAATGAAACGTCAAAGCTTCTGCGCTTCGCGTGGGAGGGGGATAACTGAATTCAGACAAGGATTAAGAGTTAAGAACGGTACAACGAATAGTTTTCTTTCTCTAATAATTTAATGAAACGTCAAAGCTTCCGCGCTTCGCGCGGGAGGGGGAAAACTGAATTCAGACAAGGAATATACCAGTCGAGAACGGTAAAACAAATCGTCTTCTTTCTCTAATAATTAATGAAAGGTCAAAGCTTCCGCGCTTCGCGCGTAATGGGGGGGGGGGGGGGGGGAGTGGCAGCGAGCTGCCCGAATATGTGTTTTTTTTTTAAATATCTTTTGTCGTTTATTTTGGTGATGAATAACACTTTCACAATATTATGGTCAAATTGTTGCTCGCTCACTAGCCGAATTGTGAAACCAGAAAATTACTTTTTCGGGCAAGAGGCTATAGCCCCCCCCCCCCTCCCCGATGAAAATGTCAAAAATTGTACCGGTATGGTGCTTCTAATATGACCTTGAAAAAACGGTCTGCGCAATTTGGGAATTTCCGGCCCCCCCTATTGGAAAATCCTGGATCCGCGCCTGAGAAAGCATATTATATATTATAGGTCCTCTATAACAATAGACCCTCCTGAGCAATGAATTTACACAAAAAACAGGTGGGAAAGTAGTCCGGCACAACATCACATATTTAGTCAGATTTAACTGATACTTTAGTAGGATTTCCCTTTAATTGAACTTATCACATGTAGCTAGTTTACAATTATGGTTTTAAACGGTTAATTTGCACACTTTGCTATGTCATTTTTGTTTGTCCTGCACTTTACCATAATTACTACTTCAAGCTACTGAAAAGAACAGTTAACATGCTATCATTTTTCTTTCATGCAGGAAAATGTTTGTCAGAAGATATGGACGCTCGTTTTAATAAGCATAGGTAAGCATTTCCTAATAACTCTAAGATATTTTGAAACAGCCACTGCTGAGAAAATCTATGTGCATTCGCTATGAATATTCTAAATTCGATTTGATAAAGAAAGAAAATATGATAAAGAGAAAATTAGCAATATAATTTGGTAACGATGTTATGGTAAATTATAACTAAATCATTATTGTATGAAACCACTTCGAATATTCATCATTTCCAGAATTGTTATTAGTAATATGGTCAACTTCTAACGGTATAGAATAATGTTCTATTTGATAAACAACCATTGCTACAACGACTGCTACTACTATGACTGGTAGTATAAAAGTGATACTATTAACTACTTACCACTACTAATACTACTCCCATGCCTACTGTATACTACTACTACTACTACTTCCACACCTACTACTACTACTACTACACTACTACACTACTACTACTACTACTACTACTACTTCTACTATTATTACTATTACTACTACTTCTACTGTTACAATACTACTTAGGATAATAATGATGATGATGATGATGATAATAACGACGACAGTGATGGTGATGATGATGTAATGAGTCGTTTCATCTGCTTGGAATAAAATAGACAGGTAAAACAACATTTATTTCCATATTTTGACTTCAAGTTTCCCAAGCCACTTCTGCTTCTGCTGTACTTGACACAGCATGTCAGACTGAACCTTCACTAGAGAGTCTTTGCGGCAGCATTAGACTACCCGGATCGGGTCAGGAGATTCAGTTGGTCCCGGTGCCATTACGTAACAGCCCCCAGACGCCCCTGGCTTTACTGAAGTCTTTTGGAACATGGAATTTTGTCTGCACATATCCAGGTAATCGCAAGGTTCACGTACTCTTCATCGTACTAGCTAATTGGTTAACAATCATGTAGCGACAGTAAAATAACATTTCCTCTGCATATCCATAGTGATTTAACTGAGAAAGTACATGAGTACAGATATTTGAGGACCGTAATAGGTGACAAATTGTACTGGAAACATAATTGTCGAGTCATTCAAAAGAAAACGAGCCAGAGAATGTTCTTCCTCGAGAAACTCAAGAAGTTCCATGTTGATAAAATAATCCTGATACTTTTCTACCAATCAATGATTCCGAGTGTGTTAGCATTCAATATCATTTGCACGTCTGTCAAAGGAACTAAAGGGAAGATTTGATCGCACCTGGAAAATTGCACAGAAGGTTATAGGCTCGGCATTAGTCCCGGTTCAAGCATTGTATGAAAAACGTCTGTATCAATAAAGATGAAATGAAATGGAAAAGTTTTCAAAACGGTTTTGCGAACGTGTTCCTGTGACAATTGCTATGTGTTAATTTCCTACACTAACCGAATTCTTAACTTCAACCCTGGACCCAAATTTATATCCAACCTTTACGCTAAACCTATTCAGGGAGGTGAGACCTGACCTAATCTAAAACCCAGTTGCCACCATACGCCTAACCCTATACCTTTGACAAAGTAAAGCCCGAGCAAATATCTCAGCTAGATGTCGGATCACCTCTCGAAACGTAATACTTTACTAATATGCATAAAATTATGTCATGCAGATAGAAGATTTACATTTCCTGAGCATATTTCCTTTGCTTCTGTGTGTTGTTTTCTCTGTTATTGTTAACTTCTAGGGAATGGGTGTAACTGAAGTTACATCGACAACCCTTTACACAGATCTGTCCTCGATCAAGGACGACTCTTTCGGGGACAGTTTTAGATCTTGTAACCACCCTTCCTCTCCCATTTACACTAGGGTCAGTTCCGTCCGGCACCACGGTAAAGAACGAAAACAATTTAGGAACAACGACTGGGGCCACTTCTTTGAGGAATAGCGCCATCACATCCTACCCTACAACATCATCAGAACTGTCTACCATTGCTGAAACTCTCATCACATTGGATCGATCGCGTACCCCTTCAGAGCCCGGTGTGGTAGTTGGTGGCAATTGGCCATCTCAGAGCACCCCTGCCACTACGACACCACACGATACCGTAGTGACAACTGATACCGACGAACAGTCTCCAAGCACTTCAACCCATACCACTAGAAGAATGTCTGCAACGGAAGCAGCGTATGTGACCACTGATGCCAGCGGGTCACCTCAAAGCACTTCAGTCTATGACACTACTAGGACATCTACACCAGAGAGAACTACCACAGATTTGCCTGAATCTACAACTTCTTCTGGAAGATACAGTACAACAACTGAACCGATCGATGTGACCACTGATGCCAGCGGGTCACCTCAAAGCACTTCAGTCTATGACACTACTAGGACATCTACACCAGAGAGAACTACCACAGATTTGCCTGACTCTACAACTTCTTCTGGAAGATCCAGTACACCAACTAAAACGAACGAGGTCACGACCGGTAGTTCCAATGCACCCACCACTACTACAGGACAGTTCGGTACACAAGGTGGGCCTAGAGCATTACGTTCCTCTATTTTCAAGTGCCATATTCATTGCCATTATACGCGAAAAGTCTATGTGAGCCATTTCTTTTCTATGTTTTTTCAGTAGTTCCTTAGTTCCATGAATAAGTGAAGCGTTGTTTCTCGTTACTAATAATCGATTTGCATTGTGTTGTTGACCAACATCCCGTTTCATCTTGTCTTTTCATTTGCCATTCACGGTATAGCGTCAACGGCGAAGACCACGACTGATGAGGCCAGTACTACTGCAGAACAAACCACTGAGGGGTCGACCACATCAACAGGTATAATGATCTATTTTTGATTGGTCTACTGGAACTATCAGTGGCGTAGCGTACGTAGGTGCATACATGGGGGGGGGGGGGGGGGGGGTCACTGGTGACATTGGGGGTACCAACAAAAAACATTTACCTGTACCACACTAACGGAGCTATACTAGGCTCAAGACTTCATGAACTTGGGGTTAAGTGTCAAATCAGAGTCTGTATATATACTGTCTGCATATTTTTTCCCACTCACGTTAGTTCTGTTTAGTAGTTTTTTAAACATATTATTCTAAGAGTGAGAATCATTATTATTAAAAATCAAAAATCAGATTTTCCCGAACCTCGTTTTCTTTGTCAACGCTTTGACTCACATTATTGCCCATGGTTTTAATGTATCTCCATGTATCATCATAGGGACGTGCCCTTCCGGTTTTGTCTCGTTCGGGGACAAGTGCTACTTCTTTCCACCGGCTCACCTGACCTCCTACATGAACTACGCCGATGCCGAGGACTTCTGCACCGACGTCGTGTCCGCCGGCCTCGCCGACGACTCTGCAACACTTCTGACTATCAACAGTCTTGAAGAGAACCAATTCCTCATGAGCCATCTTGCCGGAGTTCAGGACACCGTGGATATCGTCGGCAGTGATGGCGTTTGGGTGGATTGTGATCTAAATGGGCGTTTCGACTGCAATCTGGATTATGATTCTCTTCCGTATTATGATTATTACAGTGGTAAGTAGGAAACATGAGCATGTTTATTACCCCAAGGCGTTGTGCACGAGGCGACATTAGGGACTGTTAGATTTGCGCGACGACACAGTGGACTGCTACGTGTGACGTCCTTTTAAGGCACCGTGGCGTCCTTAAGGCACTGTCAGTGCCTTAAAAGGACGTCACATGTAGCAGTCCACTATGTCGACGCGCAAATCTAAAAGTCCCTATTTGGCTGACGGAGGACTGCGTCAGCGATTGACGCGGTCTTTGACGCGCAGTGTGAGCTTGAACCCATACATTACAATGCATATCCGTAGCAGAATTAAGAGGCGCCGCGCCGCGGCGCTTTGAAGTGCTTGTATAGAGTGATATCGTTCAGAAAGAGAACGCATAATGGACAATGCAAACATCGCTTATAATTAGCGAAATAATATGCCCTAATTCAAATCACATGCTCCATTGCTTAGCGCATGTAGTAACGGATTGGCATAAGTGTAAAAAAGAAAAAGAAAGAAGAACAGTGCGAACAATGCGTGGAATAACAGTACTTACTGGCGCATGCACTTATTTCGTTCACTAGATAGAATAGCGTAAGCCCTTCCCAAAAATGTCCTGTGGTATTTTCTTTGGTATGTCACAGGAATATTTGATACCACAGGGACACGTGTGGTACTGTACAAGACACTCGTTCGGTAATGTTGTATTTCAAGTGGTACACGTACATCGTTACCACACGAAAATGACTCCGGAGTGTCTGAAATCACAGGTATTTGACGTCGTCAAAATGAAGACTTGTGTGTGACAGACTGGGCATACTTAACGCATTGCACACGAGGTTTCATCTCCAGGCGCGGATCCAGGATTTCTTAGGGGCGGGGCAAAATTGAATTTATGCGAGCCAAATATTGGTACGTAATGGTGACCAGTAGTGACGTAATGCGGGGGGGGGGGGGAGTGGATGTAGGGAGGGGCGAGTTTCCCCTCCCTCCTCCGCAAAACGCGAAAGCTTTGACGTTCTCGAAAATAATCCCCGTCTGAATTCAGTTTTTCCCCTCCCGCGCGAAGCGCGATAGCTTCTTTTACGATTAATTAAATCATTAGAGAAAGGATACGATTCGTTGTACAGTTCTCGACTTTTAATCCTCGTCTGAATTCAGGTTCCCACCCCCCCCGCGCTTCCTTTTAAATTTCATTAAATCATTGGATAAAGAAGACGATTCGTTGTACCGTTTTCGAAAATGATCCTCGTCTGAATTTAGTTTCTCCCCGCCCCCTCCCGCGCGAAGCGCGAAAGCTTTTACGCTTCATTAAATCATTAGAGAAACAAGACGATTCGTTGTACAGTTCTCGACTCTTAATCCTCGTCTGAATTCAGTTCCCTCCCCCCCCCCCTCGCGCGAAGCGCGGAAGCTTTTACGATTTATTAAATCATTAGAGAAAGAAGACAAATCGTTGTACAGTTCTCGACTCTTAATCTTCGTCTGAATTCAGTTTTCCCAAAGCTTTTACGCTTCCTTAAAACATTAAAGAAACAAGACGATTCGTTGTACAGTTGTCGACTCTTAATCCTCGTTTGAATTCAGGTTCCCCCTCCCCTCTTTTACGCTTCATTAAATCATTAGAGAAACAAGACGATTCGTTGTACCATTCTTAATCCTCGTCTGAATTCAGTCCCCCCCCCCCTCCCGCGCGAAGCTTTTACGCTTCGTTAAATCATTAGAGAAAAAAGCCGATTCGTTGTACCATTCTCGACTCTTAATCCTCGTCTGAATTCAGTTTACCCCCCCCCCCCTCCTCCCGCGCGAAGCGCGGAAGCTTTTACGTTTCATTAAATCATCAGAGAAACAAGACGAATCGTATTACCGTTCTCGACTCTGAATCCTCGTCTGAATTCACTGTTCTACCGCGCAAAGTGACGTTTCATAAGATTATGAGAGAAAGAAGACGATTCGCTGTACCGTTCTCGACTCTTAATCCTTGTCTGAATTCAGTATCCCCACTCCTGCGCGAAGCGCGGAAGCTTTGACGTTTCATTAAATTATTAGATAAAGAAGACGATGCGTTGTACCGATCTCTACTCTTAATCCTTGTCTGAATTACAAAGATGTTAGTTGTCTGCTCCTTTTTCTTCATTCGAGCTCGAGGCTCCCGATCCCCGCCGTTCCGCGGGCCCTGACATGTAGGCATCCCAAGAATCATATTTCTTGCCTGGCTGTAAATTTAGGAATTCGTCATTTTCCAACAAACACATAAAAAGGTATAATTTACTAACAAGTGAGGAAAAATCTCGGAAATTATGTCATTTCAGCATTATTTGTAATCCACCGTTATTGAATTAGAAATAAACCACATTCGAATTTGATTTCCCCCAAGCCTCCCCCCTCAGTTCGCCAGTATCTCCTCTTTTCATTTTTCTCTCTTATTATTTTAATTGGGGGGGGGGGGGGCAACAGCATGGGAGGCAAGGCCCTTTCGCCTCCCCCATCTCCTTCTGCCCCTTTTCTTTTCTTCTTCTTCCTCTTCTTTCTTTCCCTTTCTCTCCTCTTTCCCTTTCCCTTCTTTTGCTTTCTTCTCTCTTTTTTTTTCCGGGGGGGGGGGGGGAGGCCCGCTCCCCCCCCCCCCCCTCTGGATCCGCGCCTGCATTTCAAACGCTTTATCATCTGCGTTAATCGAGCCTTCGAAAGATATGGGTCCGCGTATTCGTCAATAATTAGTACAAGCATTGTTTACACATATTGCATTCATTTTTTGTGCGATGAATACCCAATCATGGTGCCATTAACAAAGACGCAGTTCTACGTCGGGCAAACGATGCACCTCGCGTCCAACAGCCACATTTAATGACTAAATAAAAATCTAAACTATTGCTAGTCAGGGGAAGCAATTGGTCACCAGAAAAACAGTCGATGTTTTAATAATTACTTGCTAGCAGTCACTTGAATCACACGTACGAATTGCAAGCAAAATCTGTTTGCAGTCACATTATACTTCTTCAAAAAAACATCTATTACTTAGAATAATCGACAACGCCTCGTATCCTAGAAGAGGTGCAAAATAATCCATTTATTATCATCATCGTCATTATTATATATATTATTATCATCATCATTATTATATATATTATTATCATCATCATTATTCGGCTCGAATTAATGTATTCACACTTTCCTGTATATGAATTTCATATACTCTACTGCAGGTTGGGATAATCTCTACGTCATCCTGTCTCTCGACGATGGGCTCTGGTACAATGATTGGGGCTCTAATTTGGCTTTCGTTGTCTGTCAAATCACTCAAGGCGTAGGCCTACTGCAGGTTGGTACATTTGTACTCTGAAGAACTAGAGGGTCGTTGGGGCCATTCTCCATATCATGGGAGTTATAACGACAGGCCGTGGGGTAATGAGCAACCACTCTTGGGGGGGGGGGGGGAGGGGGGGGCAAAAGTGAGGAAAAAAATCCGGGAAGTCATGTCATTTCAGCAACATTTGTTCGAAATAAGCCACGTTTGATTTTATTTTTATTTTTTTAATTTTGTTTGGGGGGCACCTGCTCCCCAAGCCCCCCCCCCCATCAGTGCACCAGCGACGAAAGGGGTGGCTATTGATTTAATCCAGCGACTTAAATACAGGCAGTATATTATATTTGTTTTATATACTTGAGTCATATATTTATTGTTCATTGATAACCATGCCTGGAGGAATGTAACGGGGAGAAAAGGACGAGTGCCACAGATCATAACATCTGAGAGGAGAGCTGAAGGGGTGGAGTAAAGGCGATCATAGTCAATTAAGTCATCGAGAAAACTAAAATGGCGTTTTTGTACATAATCTTTGAAGAAATTTATGAAGTAAGAGCGGAAATACATTAATCGTAGTTTTAATTTCTTCTTCGCCCTCCTTTTTCTGGTACTGCCACTTCTGCAGGGTTCATGAATAAATATGTGGGGTATAGTAATACAACTTTCATAGATAATGACACTGAAAAATATGAAGTATAAGGACTGGTATTATGTATTTTTAAAGTATAGTTTTGTTGATACTAGCGTGGCCTATAAAGACGTGTGTGTGTTTATTGATATTTCTGTCGGATCTGTGGGATATAAAGACAAAATTACATAATAAATACATTTAAAAAAAATAAAGATGTAAAAATATATATATATATATATATATATATATAAAGACAAAACCCAAAAGTATCTATTGCGGGGCGGGAGTTGGGTTCAGAATGTTGTAAAATCAATTAGAATTATGATACATTGTCTCTTCGTATTTGACTGGCCTAGGTGCTGCCTCCTTGTACAAAGTAGTCATTAAATGTTTTAGTAAATATGTGGGTTTGATTTCCATCAATATTCATCAAATTTGATTTTTTTAAATTTTTTTTAAATTTATTAAAAAAAAAAAAAATTTGTTTTAATATATATATATATTTTTAAATTTCCTGTCCATAGTGTACTGCCTGGATTCTACGTTCGGCTCTTTCCTTTGTAAGAAACTTGCTAAACATACACAAGATATCCATTCTCCCCCTTATTTTTTATTTATATGCAGATTATGTTTTCATGATGGTTTGGCGCCAATCAATATATTTGTTTTTGCTTGTATTTTAACTAGAAACATATTTTGTCAAACTTACATGTTACTCATTATATTTATTTGTATGATGTTTCTTTGTATTGATGTGAAAAGGTGGAAATAAAACAAACACACAAACATATTTATTAGTATTAATAAATTGTGTACTGTGTCAAAGTACACTTTTTTCTGCACTTCGTTATTAATTAGGTATTTTGTTGTGGGAAAATTCGTGTTTCTAATTGATGTCAAATTTCCTTTTGCTATATAACAAAACGTTTATTAAGTCTATAAGAAATGTGTTTCTATATCGTTAACATATAAGTACACACAAGAGTTTGATAAAGTAGATGGAGAAACTGTATTTTATTAATTTTCATCACGTTATTCAAAATAGAAATGAAACAAAGGAACAAAACAAAACAATTGTACAGTGTGCATACAGAACAATATACAATGGTTAATTACACGCAGGTCAACCAAAACCTATAATATACTATGATATTAAATATAATTGATATATAAGTGTTCAAGCTTTAATTATATGAAATAATAATATTAAAAACGATAGGTTATTTGTACTGCCGAGAGCCGAATAAGGCGATTTTATTCATATTTTCGCGCCCTTCTTGCTCCCAGTACAGACGGTTTCTAATTATTATTATTTAAAAAAAAAATCTTTTTTTACAGGCATCACGTCTTATCATGGCAGATTCTAGTGTGCTTTTTATATTTAGTTTACATTTATAATTATCACAGGAAGAACAGCAAGCATGAAAGCAATATTGCGATAATTATGTAACTTTTTTTTATGTCGAGCTAGAGTAAGAGAGTGAGCTTTAAAAAAAAAGGGGGGGGGACAAAGCAAGTCAGGTAGAGAACATGAAAGAGAGGGAGAGAAGAAATAGAGAGGGAGAGAGAAAGAGAGAGAGAGAGAGAGAGAACGTACAAGTATATATTAGAGCGAGCGAGAGGGGGTAAGGCATAGGAGATAAAACGGTAGGAAGAAAAAATGAAGACAGAGAGAGAAAAATGGAAAGATAGAGAGAGAGAGAGACAGACAGACAGACAGAAAAAAATATATTCCGAGTTAGATATCTTGAATTTATTATATTTCAATACTTCCGTTTTCTTCTCGATGACAAACAGCGGAACTAACATATTTTATATGTCTTTCATTATTTCAATTATGCAAAGGAATGTTCATTTTTATCGACTTCCTTTCCATTGAATAGCATTTGCAAAGATATAACATTAGAGCAACGACATCGCTAAAAATAGATACATTGTAATTAAACAATAATGTTATCACGTGCATACGCATTAACAAATTGCGAACAAAATTGATCCATCGCTTCAAAAGATTACAATAGAGGCCCGAATTCACAAAGGAGGTTTGTCGACAAACCTAGGTTTATGTGCGTCATAATTAGGACGCGCTTCGATGCGTTTCAGACCAAGGTTTGTCAAAACGCGTCATATGCCTCACATAAAGTTACCTAGGTTGTCTACAAACCTCCTTTGTGAATTCGGGCCAGAGTGTCCGGGGGGGGGGGGGGGAGAGGGATGCGATTTTCAAAGTCGGTGTGCACTTTTTAGGGAATGGGCATCTTCAAAATTCCGGTGGAATATCTTAACCACGATCACAAACTGGTATTTTTTCGTCCTTCATTTAAATACTGTTATAGACTGATCGGTGCATTATCACACCTTCTCAATTACTCTTAGAATGTTTACCGATTTTACAGTCACCGTGAATAGAATCATGTCTTCTTTCTTAGGCATCTTGTGATCTGATTTTTTTTTTGTTGCTCATGGTAACTAATTCGCGAGGTCGAGAGGTAAGTGAGCAAATACAACATTAAAGAGTACAATGCAGACAATTACAGAACAGGTACAAAGTCTTTTTTGTTAAAAAAAAAAAATCACTGATGATATGACTGGGGTGCAACTGAAGTGTACGTGAGAACAATAACATTATTGTTGAATTATCTATTTTTAGGTATGTCGTTTTTCTAATGCCATCTCTTAATTTTTCAAAATGCTATTCATTAAAATGGATCGAAGTGAATGAATATTAACCTGCGTTTGAAATATTTGTAGGAAAAATGGCTTATTCCTTTTACATAATTATTATCGTCATTGTTACGTCATCGATGTTCATTTTCATTTCGATCCTAAGGTGTGGGCCTTTATTGCTTGGTATGTTATTCATTATGCTCAATTATATACCTCACTTAAGAAATCCAGCCATCTGATTGGTCGAATTGCATTCATAAACTTCAACTGTTCCTGTAAAATTCCCGGTAACCATGCTTAAAACATTTCAATATTTTTAATAACCATGGTTATTAAAAAAATAGGTCAGTCTCCATGGTTACCCCATAGGTTTACATGTTAAAAAATGGTTTGAGCGATGGAGGGTACCATACGTGTGCGAAAAATTGGTCGGCAATTTCAATACAATTGAATCTCGATCGATCTTACCGACAATTTTATCTTGCATTGTTGACATGAAGACGAAAATAAACTTCCAAAAACAAAAAAAACAACATCTGCCGATAGATCTTGATCTAAGTTCGTGCCAATATGCATTGCAAAAGTAAAAGAAGAGTCCGTATATGGAGCTTTTGCGAAGCATTCATCACACGCAAAGCCTGTTTCAATCCATTTTAATGTATATATAGTACAAAACTGCCAAACATGTTAATAACGCGCGATGGCCGAGAGGTCTGAGGCGCTGACTTTAGATACATCACCTTTTGTACGCAAGAGTTCGAATCTCATCTTGGACCAAAAAAAAAAGTATTTTTTATTTTTTATTTTTTAGTCTATTTTTTTTCGGCATATAAAAGTATTAATGACTGCTTTAATATTCGAGAAATAGTTGTTTTCATACGCTCTCGGGAAGGTTACAATTGGGCTATTCCCTCGGCAAGCCTCGGGGAATAGCACAATTCTAACCTTCCCTTGAGCGTAATAAAACAACTATTTCTCTCAATGCGAGGTCACGTTGCTCCGAAAAGATTGTTGTTCAGGAAGATTTTCTTACCCTTAGCCATTTTAAAGCAACATATTTGGTTGGTTGTGGCCTCGCCTGCGATGGAGAAGTTTACCAAACTGAGGTTCAATAATTTTCCCTTTCTTTTTTCTGCCTGATGTGCCCGTAATACCACGGTTACGTATAACTGCGTGCCCCTTTCCTGCAATTTCTTAACTAAAAATAGGGCTATGCTATTTTGAATTAACGTTGACAACTGTCTGGATTCTACGCTCGGCTTACATATTCATTAGTATTAATATTGTGTACTGTATTAAAATTACTTTTTCTGCATTTCGTTATTAATTTGGTATATTGTTGTGGGAAAATTCGTGTTTCTAATTGATGTCAAATTTTCTTTTGCTATAAAACAAAATGTTTATTTTGTCTATAATAAATGTCTTTCTATATCATTAACATATTGCTAAAGTGATGTTATTTATAAGTACACTCAAGAGTTTGATAAAGTAGTTGGAGATACTGTATTTTATTTTATCACGTTATTCAAAATAACAAAGGAACACAACAAAACAATTGTATGTGCATATAAAACAAAATACAATGGTTAATTACACGCAGGTCAACCAAAACCTTGATATACTATGATATTAAATAGATTTTGAGGTATAATTATATAAGATAATAATATTAAGTACGATAGGTTATTTCTGCTGCTGAGAGCTGAATAAGGCGATTTTGACTCATATTGTTCGCGCCCTTCTTGCTCCCAGTACGGACGGTGTTTAAAAGATAATTTTGTTTTAATTTTTAATTTTTTTATACAGGCATCACGTCTTATCATGGCAGATTCTAGTATGCTTTTTATATTTAGTTTATATTTATAATTATCACAGGTAGAACCGCAAGCATGAAAGCAATATTGCGATAATTATGTAACTTTTTTATGGCGAGAGAGGGAGTGAGAGAGAGTGAGCTTTAAAAAAAAAAAGGGGGGGGGGACAAAGCAAGTCAGGCAGAGAACATGAAAGAGAAGGAGAGGAGAAATAGAGAGAGAGAAAAATATATATATATACGATCAAGTATATCAGAGCGAGCGAGAGGGGGTAAGGCATAGGATATGAAGACAGACAGAGAGAGAGAGAGAGAGAGAGAGAGAGAATGGAGAGAGAGAGAGAGAGAGAGAGAGAGAAATAATTATATTTCAATACAACCCTTTCTTCTCGATGACAAACCAGCGGAACTAACATAATTATTTTACATGAGTTTCATTATTTCAATATTGCAAAGGAATGTTCATTTTTATCGACTTCCTTTCCTTTGAATAGCATTTGCAAAGATATAGCATTAGAGCAACGACATCGCTAAAAATAGACACATTGTAACTTTGTGATTTCGAGCCAGAGTGTCCGGGGGGGGGGGGGGAGAGGGGGGAGAGAGAGAGAGGGGGGGGGGGGGGGAGGTTGCGATTTTCAAAGTCGGTGTGCACTTTTTAGGGAATGGGCATCTTCAAAATTCCGGTGGAATATCTTGACCACCATCGCAAACTGGTATTTTGTCATCCTTCATTTATTTTAAATAGTGTTATAGACTGAGCGGTGCATTAATATCACACCCTCTCAACTACTCTTATAATGTTTACCGATTTCACTGTAATCAAGAATAGAATCCTGTCTTCTTTATTGCGATCTGATTATTTTTTTTTGCTAATGGTAACTAATTCGTGAGATCAAGAGGGAAGTAAGCACGTACAACATTATATTAAGGAGTTTATGCAGACAATAATTACAGAACAGGTACAAAGTCTTTTTTATTGAGAAAAAAGAAATTTCACTGATGATATGATTGGGGTGCAACTAAATTGCACGTGTCTGAGAACAATAACATTATTGTTGAATTATCTTTTTTTAGGGATGTCGATTCTCTCATGCTATCTCTTAATTTTTCAAATGCTATTCATTAAAATGGATCGAAGTGAATGAATATTAACCTGCGTTTACAATATTTGTAGGAAAAATGTTTTTTCCCTTCTACATAATATTACGTCATTGTTACGTCAGCGATGTTCATTTTCATTTCAATCCTAAGGTGTGGGCCTTTATTGCTTGGTATGTTATTCATGTATGCTCAAGTATTTAATGCGAGGTCACGTCGCGTTGCTCCGAAACGATGGTTGTTCAGGAAGATATACTAACACTAATTTTAGCCATTTAAAAGCAGCATATTTGGTTGATTGTGGCCTCTCCTGCGATGGAGAAGTTGACCAAACTGAGGTGAAACAGTTTTCCCTTTCCTTTTTCTGCCTGATATATGATTTTATTTTATTTTATTTCAGCATTTTTCCAAATATAATATAACTGAATAACAAAGAACATATTAATGTAAGGTATAATACAACATATACAAATAATAATTTCTTCATGTCAAAATGTTTTTTACATGATATATGTACATAATGACGAAACTTAATATCTCCATAACATAATATCATAATACCACGGTTTCGTATAACTGCGTGCCCTTTTCCTGCAATCTCTGAACTAAAAATAGGGCTATGCTTTTTCGGCCAGGGCGGGGTGAATCCATGGTTACTAAAGAGGATGGGGCATAGTAAAGAGATAGATTTCTATCAAACTTCAAGCAACAAAAAAATATATAAAAATATCCAAATTACAAAACAAAAATAATACAACGTTACCTGCTTCCACATAATAATTATGGAGAAAAAGAAACATACATATTAATCAAAAGAAAATGACATACGAGAATAATCGAAGTACATAATAATGGTAATATATTATATGAGGGTACACGTCAGGGGCGGCGGAGCGACTTCCAAAGTGGGGGACACCAACAAAAAAGGGCACCTACAAAGGGAAATCTCAAAGCGAATTTTTTTTTTAGACATTGGTAAATATCCCTACACTCTGATTCATCATTACATTATCAGGGATGATTTCAATATTTGTTTCTCTTTATTCACCGTACAAGATAAATTACTGAAGCTTCATACTTTGCAGTTGGGTTCGATGGACTGAAAATTCATTTGCGAGCGAGTGAACCAAGCGAGGACAATTTTTAAGATTTGTGAGGTTGCATTGCGAAAAAAATACATCTTCAAAGGAATGAATCGAGTCCTGATGGGTTATAAGCACATTCTCACTTTTAAGAAGGAAAAGAGCCTTTATTAGAAAACAAAAAGGGCTCGTGTCAGAATGAAGGGTGCGGAAAATGGACATTCATCAAAGATGGAAAGAGCACTTATCAGGAGGGGAAGGGGAACTTGTCAAAGTAAAACGAGTACTAGTATCTCTCAGATTTGAATAGGGGCAATAATCGGAGGTGAGGGGGCTCTTATCTGAATTTAAAATGGGCAACTTTTCTAACCCGAGAAGGATCATTTACCAAAGATAAAAATGACATTCATGAGAAGGGGAAGGGGCTTTTTTTTTATTGGGGGCACTTATCATTACGAAAAGGGGCACATGTTAGAATATAAGGTGCGCTTTAATATGAGAGTTAAAAATGGGGTAGTTATTAACAGGGGAAGGGGCAGTACTTCTTACAAAGAAAAAGGGACACTTTTTAAAAGTGAAAATGGGCACTTACTAGAGATTAAAAAGGGAACTTATGAGAATGGAAAATGGACACTTATTGCAAAGGAAAATGGAAATTTGTCCGAGGAAAAGGGGCACGTTTCAAAATAAAAGGGGCATTTATCAGACGTGAAAAGGGGAAGGGACACTTTAACAAAGTAACAGGGGCACTTTTCCTCTATATGAAGGGGCACTTTTCCTAAGTAAAAAGGGGAAATTTTGGGGTACCTCCCCCCTGCCCCCACCCCACCCCCCTAGCCGGAGGGCCGCCTCTGGTGCACGTACATAATCAATTGGTGTTAAAATTTGTAGATTTAGCCTACTATCACCTACCAAAAGCAAGAACCGTATTTTCTAACAGAATCTTTTCTTTCACTGGCCCAAAATATGGGAATGCCCTTCCCGGCACATTAAAAGAAAAAGTGGTTTCAAAAATGCCCTCAAGCACTTTTTGTTGCGGACGTTTCAGAATAAGTAGTTCTCCGTTTTGTTTTCTTTTCCGTATTTGGCCAAACTGGCCATCATGATTTTTATCACATCGAAATTGTGACTCGTATATGATTTGTTTCCATATAATACTAATTAAAGATGATTCCTCTATGACAACCCTTTCTTTCTCTCTCCCTCTCTGTCTCTTTCTTCCTCTCTCTATCTCTTTCTCTCCCTCTCTCTCTCTGTTCCCCTCCCTCCTTCCCCCTCTCTCTTTTTACCCATTTCTCTTTCCACCCTCTACCTCCTTTCTCTCTCTGTCTTCTTCTTCTCTCTCTGCTGTTTTCCCCTTTTCTGTTTGACACTCACTCATTCTTATTTTATTTATGTATCATCATCATCTTGTCATCCTGCTACTGTTTCTTATTTGTTTTTATCTCCTTTTTAAAATTTTGTTGTCGTCTGTCATGTTTTTTATTCCGTAATTTAGTTTCAAAATTTAGTTATGAATGTATAATTATATGAAAGTTTAATTATAATTATATTATTGTCAATTAACCTACACATTACAAGCATTGCTTTCAAGTAGGTTCGTCTTTTTATTTCCTGTAGCCTAAGCTAGGCTGTAGTCATAACATTTTGCAAATACAAGACTAAAAAACAATAAAGATATTTTCAATGCTAATGTTATATCATTACGTTTATTATTGTCTGTCATTGTTAATATTATATGTGGAAAAAAAAAAATCTAAATTCGCTCTGTGTATATGTATAGAGCGACTACTCTACTACTATGCTTTTCAGAAAGAGCAACGCTTCCTCACTAAATGGAAAATTCCTGTTATGTTGTGATCAATATTTTCCATTCCACTCGTGGAAAGATGGGCACGAAAGATGGATAAAGAACCGTTCGTGACCACACGATTCCCTAGATACGCCTCAGCCGCGAGGAACGTGATTACGTAATATGAATAGGTAGGCTAGCTAGGCAAGCTAATTATAGATATACGGTAATCATAATAGCAGACGTAGAGTACATGCACTGCACTGTACACTTGGAAGTGGGTGATCGGGATATAAACTTGACACGTTTTTGGAAGGAACTTTATTATCGAATCTGAACCGATTGAACAGGTAGGTGTGGAAGGAGAACAGAATAAATATATTCTGCGATATGTTTGTGAGCGTATATTTGTGTTGAAATAGTCTGCCTTTCCTGTTTTTGATCAAATAATCTGATTTTTTACCGGCTTCCATCGTGCTTTGCATTTCAAGTATTACTACGACTACGAGGTACCAGTATCATGTCAACAGGAACGCTTGCCCGTCGCGGTGGCGGCTTGCGGGCTGCTGGCGCTGGCCCCACCGGCCAACTAGTGGGTGTTGTGTTTACAATATTATATGCAAGGGCATTTTGTGATCCGAACTCTCACTCATCGCATATTCTTGTATCGCACGAAAACAAAGCCATACAATATTATTATTATTATCTACCGATATATTATTCTGACTATAGTGAAATAACAAAATTTGACTTACCTCAGTAAATATGGCTTTGTTTTTTGTATGATATCGATATCAAAATTTGAAGTTCCGACCCGAGCAATACAAAAACAATTTTGATCTGTCATCCGGGTACTGGGCTAAAGATATTGAATACCGGTACGCTGATTTATTGTACCACTTGGAAGCCTCACATGTATAGATAATAATGTTTGATATTTTATTTATGTTTAACAGTTTTAACGGGTTTTATCTTTCCTCAGTATTTATCGTTATATTATGTTTGTATTGTTGTTTTGTTGTATTCTGTATTATTTGTATTATTATGCTATGTTTGTATTCTTTATTATATGTACCATTATCATGACATTTAATGTGATCATGTACTCTCAGAAGGGGATCGCAAGAGTCAATAAATTCTATTCTATTCTATACTAGTATAAATACATGTAATAATATTACCAATGGCTAATACTCATAGTAATAGTAATAATAGCTAGACATACAATGCCAGTTAGACTACGTCACAAACCTAAATTCTCATTGTTACTGACAGACCATTGGAATTGACTTCTCAGCCAACAGAATAGATCTACATGTACATTACAATGTAAATCTGGCATTGTCTCAAATTTGAATTTAGTCTTTTTTTGGAGCTGGGCCAATTATAGCAATGAACTCCAGTTGAAGGAAAAGTTCTTTCATTTGTGAATGAATCAACTATATGCCTCTCTATGTCTGAAAAATGACAATTTGATAATTTATTACCATAATTTGGAATTGTTTTAGGTCAGGGACATGTAGATTGTATGACATATTTCACAATGCAACTGATTTATTGTAATTATCCAGTACAATATAGTATTGCATTGGTGAATATCAAATTTATTTGAAACTCTCCATTTTATAGTATGGTACTCAAAGTTTTATAACACTTTGCAAGTAAAGGTCTGACATAGTCATTCAGACTTCCTTTATCTGTTGGGTAGGTTGACATATAATTGTTTTATTCTTTTAACTTTAAAACTCTTTACTAAAATGTTTGAAGCATATGGTAATATACATGGGCGTAAATCATTACGTAATACCTATTGTTCAGGGGGGGGGGGGATGATCTATTCATTCATCCCCCTGAACAATAGGTATTATGTAAGGATTGACGCCCATGGTAATATATCTTGCTACTTTTTAAAACATTTTTTTCTTCATTACATTTGTACCATATGTCCTGATCATGACAGTTAAATTTTGAAGAAAGTGGAGCAAGAATCTTCAACTGTGAACTTAGTGAAGGAGGTAGACTTAACCCAAACAAGAAGAAGAAGAAAGTAATTCAGAATTGTTTTATTATGCAGCTGGTGGGTTGTACATGTATTTATTTTCTCCAATATTTCTCTACCTTTCTGTCTGTCTCGGCAGTTCCCATTGGTCTAGAGACAAAGAGAAGAACTAATATTCACAGCTAGTCGCCGAACTCCACCCTCATCATGAGCAAGTTTGGGAACCAGTTATACTGGCTCCTATATCGGAATTTTCTCTTCAAGCTGCGATTTAAACAGCTTACGTTTCAGGTAAGTTAATTAGTTGAAAAACTTTAAAAAATGTTGGTGGTTCTGTTTGGGAAAAACATGATATTTTGATAGCATTTTTTGATCTGCTGACTGCACAATAATTAATTGAAAGATTGTTTTGCTGGCGGTTGTAGTACTTTGTACCTGTATCATAGAAATCTTAGTATAAGAATAAAATTGTTGTATTGAATGATTTTTATACTTTTTAGTAAATTACATAAAGTTTAGTAAGTTTTGTATCATAAAGGACTTAAAATGTCCTGACACATTCCTAAATTTCTAATTTTCCATTTATTTAACAAATAACTAATTCAGTGAGCTCATTTTGATTGCGGTACCTGTATAGTATTAGCGAATAGAAACCAAATTTTGTGTATCTCAGATTGCTCTTGATCAACCAAATATTTAACAAATTATGAACAACGGAGTGTAGAAATTGTACCCTGATCCATTTTTTATCTTTCTCTGAACAGGAGATCTTCATTTCCCTCATTTTTGTTGCCAATTTGGCCACCCTGCGCTACACCACTCAAACGGATCCTCTACCCGCTATCCCCTCTTCCTCCCTGAAATCGCATGACCTCTTTGATCCGCGCTTCGCACCGTCCTCCCTCGAATTTCCCATTGCCTTCACTCCCGATACGCCAGAAGCAGAGAGGGTTGTTTCTGGCCTGGCGTCGCTGCTGAACGTGTCTGCCTCGCCGGGCTATGTCGGGTATGCGACGGAGGACGAGATCTTGAACGATGTGGTCAATGGAACAGCTAACATAAGCATGGCTTTGGTCTTTGATGACGCCTTCCCGTCCAATTTGTCCTACAAGATTAGGCTGACCTACGGAGCAGTGACTCTGAATGATGGTCCATATTTGGGTAGTGGTATGTTGAATTATTTTATTCCTGTATATTTCAATAAAAAGTTTTTAAAGTAATTTTAGACCATTGTGCTGCTCGTGATCTCTTCCAAAGCTGTTGGGAATGAAAAAGATTTATTTACATATACACCTGTATGTTTATAGTATTGTATTTACTATATGTTTGTTTGGAAAAATGTTGTGTACAAGAGGTAATTGCAGTTTAATATGATTAATATATGATTGTTTCTATTCATATAATTGATTATTATTATTACTACGGTAGTAAATGCTAGTAGAGCTTTTTTTTTTCTCTCTCTCCTTTTTATGACATACATGTATATGTACTTCAATTTGTCTCTTTTTCCATTTCATTATCTGTCCGTCTGTTTCCAGGATCTCCAAACTGTTATTCTGCGGATCCTGAGTACGGTCTGACATATCCCTATCAGTGTCCGGCAAACTCCTATCTTTACTCTGGTTTCTCCGCCATACAAGCCATGGTAGAACATCTGATTGTGAAGGTGAGTTATTATTTTCCTTGGTCAGAGGATGGTTGTGATGATGATGATGATGATGATGAATGCAATGATGGGGAAGATGATGATATGATGATGACGACGATGATGATGAGGATGAATAGAATGATGTGATGGTTATAATGATGATAAATGCAGTGATGATGATGATGATGATGACAACAATGAAGATGAGGATGAATTTAATGATGATGATGAGGAGGAGGAGGAAGATGATGATGATGTTGATGGCAATAATGAAAATGAGAATCTTGTTTCCTGCAAACTTATATCCTCTTAACTCTTCTGCTACTAAGTCTAAAGCCTGAATGGAACATCTCATGGTTAGGGTTTAGAGTGATAATGAATGATTTGAATCATTGATGGTGGTAAAACAACATTGATGATGTTGTTTATGGTGATGGTGATGGCAGGGAAAAAATTACACTGGGGCTCGGGGCGTATGAGCACCCAAAATGCCCCAAAGAGCCCCCGAAAGTCATAAAAGAGCCCCAAAAATTTGCATAGAGTTCAATGCAATACATATTAAGGTGTTATTTTCATGCAAGCAAGCTTGGAAAGTAGCCCCCCAAATTTTTAATTTTTTTTCCCCTGGATGATGTTGATGCTAAGGATAATGATGGCAAAGATGATGATGATGATGATACAATGTAATTATAATGATGATGATGGCGGTGGTAGTGATGATTGAACAAAATTCTCACCCATTCAAGAACTGAATTTGGTTAATGTGAGTGAAATTGGAAGATTGGATGATGATGAGGAGGAGGAGATGGTTGACGGTGATGATGATTATGATTATGCTGAAGACATTGATGATAAGAAAGATGTTCTATTTAAGCATGTGTCATGCATATCAAACTTTAAAGATAAAGACCAGTTCTGGTCATGCGATTGCATTGTGAAAGAAACGTTGTGGAATCGATCAGAAAAGGTTGATCATCTAGCGTATAAGTATTGGTGTGTACTGCAAGGTTCTGGAGTCATTAAAATGATAAGAAATTTGGCCCAGTCTTGGTAAAGTTACAAGCACTGTACACAGAAAGATGGGACACATGCACGATATCTTTCCGGTCTTGATAGATATCATTTACCAAATATATCAATTAGTAGCTGGTTTCCCCGGCAAAATTTGTATCATCACGTATTAGTCAAAACATATTCTTTCACATGATTGGTAATAAGAGCTTCCATTTCACTTTTTGAGAGGGGGGCGATTCCAAAACTGGTCTTTACCTTAAGGTTCATTTATTCAAGGATCTACATGTACATGTACTATGCCTACTTGTTGTTGTTCAAGTTCCCTAAATCAGAGGTTAATGTGTTTGAATACATTTTCACATGCATTCATTTTATTATTGGACATGCCATTAAAAAACAAAAATTGTGTGCACTAGACTATCCATTTATTGCTTTTATCAGGGCATATAGCAGTTTTCATCAACCAGAGTCTGAACTTAAAGACTAACCTCACAATGCAGATCATGGCTATAAATAGGTGGGAAAACACTGGGATGCATTATTATGTAATGTTACATAGTGGGATGGTTAGATGGTTCTTGGGTGTTGTGTACCTTATGACTTTTCTAGCGTTATGAAAATGCTCTCAAATCTCAATGTAGGCAGCCATGTACTGGATGTACTATTTTTTAAAGTTCTCTCTGTATTGTTAAAGCTAAAGACCAGTTTTGGAAACGCCCCCCTCTCAAAAAATGAAATGGAAGCTCTTATTAGCAATCATGTGAAAGAATATGTTTTAACTAATACATGATGAAAAAAAAAAATTGCCGGGAAAACCGCCTACTAATTGATATATTTGGTAAATTAGTTTACCTATTGTTATGTGAGAGATAAACGCATGTGTCGCGCACGTGTGTATAGTCCCATATACATCTTTCTGTGTACAGTGCATGTAACTTTACAAAGACTGGGTCCAAATTTCTTATCATTTTGATGATTCCAGAACCTTGCAGTACACACCAATACTTATATGCTAGATGATCATTCTGATCGATTCCACAATAACTGGTCTTTATCTTTAAAACACTAAAAACACTTTATACTGTAGGCCTACCATAAAAGCTACACTTATGCACAGGAAAGGCTGTGAGAGGAATCATGATAACTGTACATTATAGTAAAAGAGAAAAACAACTGGTGCACGCTGTACACAACATTAATTGTTTTAGGTCATGGGTCAATCACCTTTGATCGGTTGCTATTAACCAATTTAAGATTGCTATTAAGCTCATTTGGCCTGCAATTAAATCTGGAATTATGGACTTTACCCAGCCATAAATGAAGAATTGTCATAAAAACATTAAGTCTTTAAACAGATTATCTTAATGTACTTGCACATGTACATTACACAGAAATGGTGCTACATGTAGATTGTCGTACCAATAGGCCATTTTCGTGTTGTTAGGTAGGGCAAGCCAAGATGTTTGTCATACCTAGCAACAATTTACAAATACTCAACTTATTACTGCATCATGCAATTCGCATTCTTACTATTTAGATACAATCATTTGTAACAGGTGACTGAAATCATTTGTATCTAGGCACTTCACAAAGACGTACGCATTAAATTTGATTATATTATGAAAATAGACCATTGAAAGAGATAAATCAGTTTGGGGCCTATAGCTTGCTGTGGGTTCACATGCCTAATGTACATGTACATACATGTGGAGCTAACCTGGGCCCCATTTCATAAAACTTTTTATCGATAACAAATGCTAAATTTCTATGACAAATTTGCTGTACCGGTAAGTCAATCAAATGCCACAATTTCAGTACCCAGGGAAAAAAATACTTTACAAATTTCGGGGGCTACTTTTCAAGCTTGCTTGCATGAACAAAGCACTCTTTAATTTGTTTTGCATTGACCTCTATGCAAATTTTTTGGGCTCTTTTATGACTTTTGGGGGCTATTTTTAGCATTTTGGGGGCTAATTTGCCCCGAGCCCCCGTGTATTTTTTCACTGTCAGTACCTGATACAGTTAAAGCCCCTCTAAAGGTCTTAGGAGCCCCAAATTCGCCAAAAAATATGAAGCTTTGAATGGAAAATGGATCAAAACAAATATTGTCATAGTAATTATTGATCAAAATAATATCTATACTGTAAAAAACATGGCTTTAATCAAACTAGGGCTGCTTGAATGAAGTGGGGTAAGAATGCTCGGAACTTAAAAAAAGGTGTAGTGTTTACTCTGTACAAATAATGCTATCTGCGTCACTTGCATGTGAGGAAATAAAAAACACATGGACAATTATGTATCAATTTGAATTTGCATGCTTCAGCACATGTGTTCAATACAGTTGAACTTAAAATGTTGTGGCCTGTATATTTGCATACTGTCTTCTCACAATTGTCTGTTTGGAGCCAGAAGGGCATTAAAGAGAAGGTTGAGTTCTGGGAAGAGGTGAAAAATAATTTGTGAGCGTTATAATGCAAGTGTGGAAGAACATCACATAAGACATGTTCCCAGAAAAGCATGGCTCTTCAAGTGCCTTTATACTCTAAAATTTGTGAGCGTTATAATGCAAGTGTGGAAGAACATCACATAAGACATGTTCCCAGAAAAGCATGGCTCTTCAAGTGCCTTTATATTCTAAATATGTCATGTAACATCGTAAAACTCGGGGGGGGGGGGGGGGGGGGGGGGTTAGGATTTTTACGCCTCGTGTTCGTGTAGTCCCATTCACATGTTTCTGTGTACAGTGTTTGTAACTTTACCAAGACTTGGCCAAATTTCTTATCATTTTGATGATTCCAGAACCTTGCAATACACACAAATCCTATATGCTAGATAAACAACCCTTTCTGGTCGATTCCACACCGTTTCTTTCATAATGCAATCGCCTGACCAGAACTCAACTTCATCTTTAACTCTAAGTAAAATGTATGAGTTAACAGCCTTTTGGCTCCAAACAGACAATTGTCCTTGTATAGAAATTTGACAAGAGACAATTAATTGTAACAGTCACCATTTCGTATTATAGAGAAACCTTACATTGTGCAGAAGCAAACAAAGAAATTGTGTACAATGATTTTGTTGATTTGTTACCTCTGCCTTGAAATTATTTAATATCAAGCACACTTAATATCCAGCCAATTATGTGTCATTGATACATAGTACAAGGTTTAAGTTGAAATTGAAAGAAATAACAAATAATTGCCAAATTTAGAACAGCAATCAAGATTGTTCATATCTGCTATATTTGCAACCATGATATTTTGATGCAATTCATTTTAAGATCTTTTATTAGGAATTTTCTGACATCTACATCATATGCACACTGAAATGCATTGTAGATTGCCATTACATGTACACTTTAGATGACCCGAGTTGTACATACATTTTACACTTTACAGGGTCATAAGAAAAGCCACTAACATTGACATTGGTAACAAAATGCCAGAATGAATAAGTGAACTCAAGGCGAAGGGAACCATGAAATACCTTTTTATTATTTTTGTTTTTGTTTTTGTTTGTTGTTGTTGTTGTTGTTGTTGTTGTTGTTGTAGTTTTTTTTTTTTTTTTTTGGGGGGGGGGGGCAAAATTCCTTCCTTTATTCAGGAAAACCAATAAAAAAGACAATAACGTATATAAATTATGTTCAACACTCGGATTAATTATTACCATCAAAGTTAAATTGATAAGCAAACAAAACTGCAGGCGAAAAAAGTATTATTGCCCGATCAGAAAAGTCAATGGCAATATGTGTGTTAAACTAGCGGGCAATAATGTAGAGCCAACATCCGGGTATTTTGTAATTTTCATTGCCTATCTATTACGCGTATGAGAACCTGCGCACTTTGCGCGTTCTCTATTCTGACGTAAACAAGTAATAATCACACCCAAAGCACATTGTTTGCAGTGTATCAACGTTGTTTGCACTGTATTTGAACCCAATACCCTGTGTTTCTTACTTTGATAAAATATCCTTGATAACACCTCTTATTCATATACTGTATACTATCTATCGGACTGACATCTGTGCTTTGTTATGAAAATAATAGTATTGATCTAGCAGTATTCCCTCAGTTATGCCAAAGTGACTGTACGGTTAATATCTTCTTCAACCTCATGAATTCCGCTCGTTGAATTTTCAAGTATTTATTTAAAGGCTTTGGAGAGTTAAAAGCACACAGAAACCACACAGATTGTATGACAATAGAAATTCAAAGGTTTAAGCCTTCGTTCCATTCTGGAGAGAACAAACATTCTGGCAGTGTACATCTATGCCCACAGTACTCTATGAAGTGAAGGAAAATAGTAAACAATTATGATAGAAAAGCTGAGTTCTACTTGTAGACCATGTAACAAAAGAAAGACAAAGGATTCAAGTCAGTAGGCTGAAGGAAAAAAGTTCAAAATACCTGTCCTACAATGTATGTGCGTATGCACATTGGTACTGTTCAACGTGGTCTTTTCTGCAAGTTTGTTCACTCATAGCGGTCCAAATTGTCCATTTATTGCATGTTAAACATCCCAGAATCACCTTTCAACAATCTCCTCCAAAACATTACAGTGTGCATGTAGTAGTGTTAAAAGTCTGGCTATCAATTGAAAAGTTCTCGAAATACATTTCCCTAATTTTCTGACACTAGAATAAATATGGTACACATAGGAGAGTAACAAACAGTTCATACATGTAGCTTAAAGGTAAAGACCAGTATTGGAAACGCCCCAATTTCAAAAAATGAAATGGAAGCTCTCATTACCAATCATGTGAAAGAATATGTTTTGACTAATACATGATGATACAAAATTTGCCGTGAAACCGCCTACTAATTCATATATTTGGTAAATTTGTTTCTCTCATGGACTGTGAGAGATATAGGGTAGTCCCATATACATCTTTCTGTGTATAGTGCTTGTAACTTTACGAAGAATGGGCCAAATTTATTATCATTTTGATGATTCCAGAACCTTGCAGATGCTAGATGCTAGATGATCAACCTTTTCTGATCGATTTCACAATGTTTCTTTCACAATGCAATCGCATGACCATAACTGGTCTTTACCTTTAAGGTCATCCAAGATCTGAATTGTATAGAGTTATCCATCACCAATCATTTGTATGTGTTATCAGCAAGATATCTGTTATCTAATGAACAAGGTATTTCAAATATGTCTACACCTTTACATGTAAATAGTTTCAAGCTACCGGTATTGTTTTTCTACACTGCATGTACATGTACACTGTACACACATTTTTCATTTCAAATGCCATGAACAGTTTTAGAAAGGAATATATGTGCATCCATAGATACCGTATTCAGCGTATTGTGAAAAAAATAATAGATAGATATTAATAGCTTTATATATAAATACGATTTCTTGCTTTTCATAAAGTAGAAGTAATATGCTTTTACATGATACATGGATGCATGGCTATAAATAATATAAAAGCTTACATTTCCTTAATGTTATGTTAGCATTAACTGCATGAGATATTAATGTTTCACTGCATGAGATATTAATGTTTCACTGTGTTCCAAAAATCTGGCACAAATGGATTTTGGCAAACAATGTTTTTTTAAAACAATGTTGCTAGGTGGTGCATATTACTTCTGCTTGAAAAGCAAGAAATTGTTTGTATATCCATCTCATGGTTTTCTCACAATCATCATTGTTTTCATGTTTCAAATTTTGTCTGGGACGCTCTGTTCATAGAACAAAAATGTTCAAATTTATTTTTCAATGCAAGGGTTTTGAACTTTCAACATAAGTTTTACAGATATATTAGGATGTAAATATACATATATGTACATGCTCTGAGTTAATGAGTAAATGGTTAAATTAAAGAAGAGTATTGGAGGTCCAATACATTTCATGAAGGATATAAACATTTTTATATCCATGTTTATATTCATGTTTATATTCAATTTCTATTTCATATACCATCTTCCAGTTAGTGACGGGGGACAGCAGCTTAGCCATGCCCGACGTATCCATCCGCATGTTCCCTAAGGGCCAGTTTGACTTTTCTCTGGACTCGCTGCGTATCACGGTGTCGGTCTACATCGTGCTGGCTTACATGCCCTTTACGGCCGTCCTCCTGACCACGCTGGTCATCGAGAAAGAACGCAAGATCAAGGAGGTGATGAAGATCATGGGGCTCAACAATGTCACCTTCTGGTGAGTAGCATGGTGGTGAATGATGATCTGATGTTGGTGATGATGATGATGATGATGATGATCTGATGTTGGTGATGATGATGATGAAAGATGATGATGATGACGATGATGAAAGATGATGATGATGATGATGATGATGATGATGATGATGATGATGATGTTTTGATGGTGGTGATGGTGGTGATGATGATTAGGATGATGATAATGATAATGATTATGATTATAATAGTGGTGATGATGATGGTGATGGTTTTGATGATGATAAGGATAATGAAAATTATGGTGATGCTCAACTGACATTGAATCCTATAGTAGGTAGTAAACCAAATATATACTGTACATTTTAGCTTTTTGGTAATACATTACCCTCATAGATGTGAAGAAGACCATTTTCCAACAGTAGGAGTAGTAGTAGTAGTAGAAGGTGTGGAAGTAGTAGTAGTAGTAGAAGTAGTAGTAGAAGAAGTAGTAGTAGGCATGGTAGTAGTAGTAGTAGTAGGCATGGAAGACGTAGTAGTAGTAGTAATAGTAGTAGTAGTAGTAGATGTGGAAGTAGAAGTTTTAGAAGTAGTGGTAGTAGAAGTAGTAGTAATAGGCGTGGAAGTAGTTTTAATAGTAGTAGACTTTTTGGGATTAACTTGTTTAGCACAAGGCTCATCTTTCCTTCAGGGTTGTGGCCCCAATAAAAATAGTAATGTCATCTTGGGGACCAATTTCCAATCAGACCCTCTCGTGGCAGTATACATTGCTATATATATCTTTTCATTCATGTAATAATTTGAGAGATTCATGTTTATTGTTTGTATTTTTCGGGTTAATTGTTTGTTTCCTTGTTCCACCTCATAGGTTGTCATGGATTATCGTGTACATCGGCATTGTGTTCATCGTTGGTCTAATCATTGCAGGATTCAGCAAGGCCATCACGTTGTTCCCCGATGGAAATTTCTTCCTCATATTCCTTGGACTCTTTTTTTATGGCCTCTCAGGTAAATAAATGAACACCCATTTTACCATTGTTGCATGCAGTTGCCATGCATTAACACGTACATGTTTGAAATCTGGGGGGTGTTTCACAAAGATCCTAAGTTGAACTTATCTCTAAGTTGGACTTAAAAATTATGGAAAGCCATTAGCATCCTTGAAAACATTTTGTAAAAGTTATTTTAAAAGACATAAAATGTTGATTCAAATCATTCATATTTTCTATTATCATGGGAGATTCTATGTTCTTGATGTGGAATTTATAAAAAGTCTAAAATACTTGAATTTCTGCTTTTGAATAAATTTCATTTTAAGGTTCCAATGGCTGTCCAAAATTTGTGAAACACCCCCCTGGAGCGGTTTGTTTGTGGCCGTTTATTACGTCATAGCTCAACGATCCTTAAAGTGACTCGTTAACATTGTTGAAGGTTGATGAAAAAAATGTAATTTTTGTATGAAATGCTAGTTATTATATTCTCAAACCACAAAGATGTTTATGGTTTTCTTTGAAGGCGTCACTGTGCAACACCCTCTACAGTGATTAACAGTAAATTCTCCCGACCATTTTGAATTTTCCCAACCACTTCTCCTTAAAAATAAGACATAAAACAGGCTTTTAAAAATCTTTCAACGCTTAAATGTCTGGAATGGTATATAGAGCCAATTCATTGCTGTGTGATGATTTACATTCACCTAAAATTTAGTTTTATAAATTTTTCACTCAAATTTTCAGATTATCTTTAATTGTACATCTAGCATTGAAGTCACTACCTTAGCACCATTTTCTCTCATCTGAACAATATTACCAAGTCCCTTTAAGTGAGTAGGGGGCTCTGTTACATAAAGCTGCTTTTCTTCACCTCCCTTGCCATTCATTTATTTTACATGTTGAAAGGATTATTTGTGACCCAGGGGTTTTGTGAGGCCATGTGACCATATGTTAACAAGGCTTTACAGTCTTTTTTTGAAAGGGGGTGTTTACCATTTGAAGGCTGTTCACATATGGCATATTACAGATCCTTACTAACCCACTATTTTAACTATCCTGATCTCAAATTACCAAGTTAATTTGCGTCTTCATCAGCTCGCAGTTGAATTAGCGAGATATTTGGTCGAGAAAATATCCAGAGAAATCCTGGTCTTGTTTCCAAAATATCCCCAAAATTGGGAAATAACGGGCTAATTTGCACCCATTTTGTGAAGTCACAATTCAAGCTTTGGGATAATATCCGAAGTCTGAATATAGAAGACTGGCCTATATTGTGCTTAACCACTTCTTTATCTTTATCCCTTTCCTTCAGTGGTGACGATGTCTTTCATGTTCTCGCCACTGTTCAAGAAGGCCACCACTGCGGGAGGCGCAGGTAGCTTCTTCATAATGCTCTTCGTGATTCCGTACATCCCTCTGGCCATCCTTGGCCCAGAGACGGTTCCTGCTTGGCTGCTCTGGATCCTCTGTCTCTTCTCTCCCACTGCTATCGCTTTCTTCATAGATAGGGTAAGCTGAGAAAGTGGTCTCCATAAACAGTTTAACGCTTTATATACCATATCAAAAATCTCCCTGTGCCCCATGGTATTTATCATGGAATAAATGTATCAAAGTCTTCAGGATCATTTAACTCCTGTCAAAAAACTTCTAAGGAGGACCTTCAAATTACCCAGTACGATAAAGGTATTATTTATCCTCCTAAGAGGTAATGACAGAATGTCTATTAGAATGTATTTTATGGGTAATTTGGTATTTTAACCCAAGTGTATCGAAGTGACTTAAAGCCTATCTGCACTAGTTTTGCAAGGAGGGATTAGACCTCCCTGCATGGTCACTAACGCGTGGTTATCTCATCAAATCACCTCTCAATTAACATAAGTGAAAGGGGACCATGGGGAATCAATGGTCACCGCTTAGGTATTGTTTGCTATATAGAGGGCGCAAGTAGGTATAAGTAGTGCAGTGGGGCTTTAAGGCATCTACTAATCTAACCTGTCTTAACATTGATCTTCCTATTTTCTTGCATAGTGTGTGCTGTTTGAGCAAATTAGCAATGGGGTCCAGTTTAGTAACCTTGGAGACGGCTACTTTCCTCCGTACGCTCCGCTTGTGATGATCTTTGTGGACATCATCCTGTACCTGCTCCTGGCAATCTACCTGGAAAATGTTGTCCCTGGTAAGACGTTACGCCTTGGTGACACCGCCAAGCTGACTCTAAATGGACTCTAAGCGGACTCTAAATGGACTCTAAATGGACTCTAAACAGACTCTAAACGGACTCTAAACAAACTCTAAATGGACTCTAAATGGACTCTAAACGGACTCTAAATGGACTCTAAACGTAATCTAAATGAACTGTAAATGGACTGTAAATGGACTCTAAACAGACTCTAAACGGACTCTAAACAGACTCTAAACAGACTCTAAACAGACTCTAAACAGACTCTAAACAGACTCTAAACAGACTCTAAACGGACTCTAAATGGACTCTAAATGGACTCTAAATGGACTCTAAATGGACTCTAAACAGGCTCTAAATGGACTCTAAAATGGACTCTAAACAGACTCTAAACAAACTCTAAACGGACTCTAAATGGACTCTAAATGGACTCTAAACCGACTCTAAACCGACTCTAAACCTTCTCTTAATCAACTATAAACAGACTCTAAACGGATTCTGAACAGACTGTAAATTGACTCTAAACAGACTCTAAAAACCAAATCTAAACGGACTCTAAATGTTCTCTCACTGACTTCAAACAGAGTCTAAACAAACTCTAAACGGACTCTATACAAATAAAGCAGACTCTAAACTGACTCTTCATCGACCAACTCTCGGCCATTTCATAGTTTTTTGTTTAAAAAAAAATATTATGCAAGTCCATGTTTAATGACCCTTACATTTCCAAGTGGTAATGAATTGAATTACTGAATTATGATCATAAGTTGCCATTAGAGTATAATTGAAATTTGAACTGATTCTTGACCATAGGAGCCTATGGCCAGAGCTTGTCTCCTGCGTTCTTCCTGAAACCTTCCTATTGGCGTGGCAGCAGTGACAAGGGTCCTAATGACCATACTGGACTTCTGCAGGATAATAACGGGAGTGAGCATACAGCTACCAATGATGACGCACTGGTCGAACCCGTGCCAGCAGCTATGAGAGGCAGAAATGGAATAAGGTATTATTACAATCTTTATTTGCTCTGCCAGTCACAATGTATTTGTTTGATATTGAGTGGGATAAACAGGTTATGTCCCACGATCTGATGGTGGGCTTATTTCACAAGTAGGCATGATGAGTGAAATGTTCTCGAAGCAAGTGGGTCATACCATTGTATCCCTTGAAAGAAAAGCCATTCAATATCACTATTATTAAACTCATCTTGCTGCTACCGATCAATTTTGAGATAAGTTTTTGAGTACTTGCAAATCCCTGATATGGAATTAATAACAAACTAATTTTGTAGATAAATACAGTAAGTATCCGGCCACTTTTTCCTATCCATTTATGAGATATACATGTATGAAGGAAAAAAGGTTAATGAGAGAAGATAATATCCTCTTTTAACACACTTCTTGATAATAATTCTGTTCAAAACTTGTTACCATTTTGTTTGATTTGTGTACAATCTAGATACAGGACAAGATGTGTCAAGATGACAAACTCAATTTTTTGAGGAGAATTCTCTTTTAATTCAATCTTTGATAGGTGCCTGCTCATGTACAACACTTATGATTTGTTTTCTTGTCGCAGATTATAAAACTTACATTCCTGTTTTGTTTTCTTCTTTTTCATAAGGATTCGCAACGTAAAGAAGATCTTCCGAGGAAAAGGTGGCAAACCAGATGTCAAAGCAGTGAATGGTGAGTCTGATTTCACGTAATCATATCTTCATCATTCTTATGAAATCTAGGTACCAGAGGCCTGTTTCGTAAAACGCGTTATCTATAACAACTGCTTTATTCTTATGACAATTTTGTTCTCAGCCAATCAGATGCCATGATTTCAGTAGCTTGTAACAGTAGCTGGTAACTTGTTATTGATATCAAGTTTTATGAAACAGGGCCCAGGTTCATTTAAAGCTTGTTTATGCCTCGGTAAGCCATGGAGGTTTACAGTGAGAGCTTTTTAAAAGCTTACTCAGAAGACTGACTACACAATTTTAGTATCATGTTAAGCTTCTGTGAATGTCCTTGGAATGTCTGTTGAATGTCAATGGGCCAGTTTACTAACATATCGTCGCTGTTTTCACGAAGTGACGGTAGTGAAAAAAAATTGCTTTCACTTTGCGTTACGATTTTCCTCGCTACCGTCACTTCGTGAAAACAGGGACGATATATTCAAATGTATGGATGTTCCTTTCCTGGGGACCTAGTGATGAGTGTTTCCATTAACCTGTTATCAATGAATGAACTACAATATTCGGAATCCAGTCTGTATATTTAACTTGTTGCTATGTAGGGCAAGCCTCAAGCATGCTGTCAGGTCATCAAGAACAACCTCTGTTTAAAAAGGATGCCTAAAATTTGAATATGTTTAAATAGTAAACCTGTCTAATGAATGTTCATTGAATGTCTATTGAATGTCTATTGAATGCCCATTGATCGTCCGTCCTAGGTATTTCTCTGGACATCTACGAGGGACAGATCACCTGTCTCCTGGGTCACAACGGGGCGGGTAAGTCCACCCTGATGAGCTGCTTGACCGGTATGCTCGGGGTCACTGAGGGTCAGGCCACAGCCTACGGAGCGGACATGTTTGACCCGGCCGGCGTGGAGAAGATCCGCAGCATGACCGGTGTGTGCCTCCAGGAGAACACTCTCCTGGATCTCCTCACCCCTGAAGAGCATCTCAAGTTCTACGCAGGACTCTCAGGGATCCCCAAGGCACAAATCCCAGACAAGGTGTGTAGAAGGTTCTAAAGACGCATGCTATGGCGACAGTCACTCCACTGTCAGTCTCCTGACTTACTTGACTTAAGTGCACAGGATGGAGTGTCCCCTTGCGCTGCTCCTACGGGCGGTCTGCCTCCATTCACTATTGTCCTGGGCTCGGTGTTGAGCAGCCTCCTGGCTTAATCCAGAGTCTTGGCGGGTTTGGTCTTTCCACCTCAGGGGAGAACCTCCTGGTGGCCGTGGAAATGTAAAGTCATTCTCCCACACCAGCCCTTTCCTAAACTTAAACCCCAAATGAATAACAACTTTAAAGGGATCGTTTACCAATGTTAAATCTGAGATGCACGGTCCTACATGTTACCAGTGTCTGTGTTATGGTGTCATATTGAAGCCCTAAAAAAATTGCGCTTCAAAATGATCAAGAAGTGCCTCACAAAAGTAAAAATCTTTGAGTGACCGGTTTTACCGTACTCATTTTCCCCAATAGACTGTAGTGTTATGAAAACCGTTTGGTGAAAGGGTTTTCATAATTTGTAATTCCAATCATTAATATCTTGATAATCAGACAGGTGATTGGCTTGTAAAAGTCATGGAGTTCCTGACTGACCTAAAGGTTTATAATTATCATTGCAACATGAGCTAAATCAAGGATTATTTCTAAAGGATCTAAGAAAAAGTTACCGGATCCCTTTAACCCTAACATCCAAATTGCTCCTAAAACCTAAAGGGGATGTTTCGGCAACCTTAAATATTGGATGTTTGACGAAAAAAAAGCCACAGCAATTATCGCTCAAGCACACATCATCTCACCCTGTCTAACATTCTTGTTTATGAAACACCATTTTGTAATTGAACAGATATACAGATGATTTTGTTTGATCCATCTACAGAACTACAGTTCTGTATATACCTCTGTGGGACTTATTGAATCCAACATAATGGAATGTATTTTTTGTGTGAAATATATTTCAAAGTGTCCTTCCTTCCTTCCTCCCTTATTTATGAGGTCAGGTTGTGTTTTATTTTACTTCATGTATTTAATGAACAAGGAACAAAGTATAGTTTTAGCTCTTTGCTATTATTGATTTCATTCAACCTTCTCAACTGGCTTTCTTCTGTTGACTACTGCACCTTCTTTCTCTGTTTGTGTTCTTACAAAACTCAGCCTCTTTCACTTGATTTAAACAAAATTCTTTTCTTTCTTCAATGTAATTCAAATCAATTTCGGTTTATTAATATCAAAATATACAATGTACAATGCAATAGTCCAAAGACCAATAATGCAATGTTTACATAAAATGTTCTTAAAAACAGGAATGATCATATACATTTACAATTAAAATGATAAAAAATAAAGTTATCATAATTGTTTATACCTCAAGCTACATACATATTTTGCTAAATGATAGTAGATAGATGAATAACTGTAAATGGAATTTATTTTACCACTGACTGTAAATACTCTTACATGCAGTGCTTAAATTTGCTATCCCTTTTACCCATTTCTGTGTGCAGGTGGAAGAGGCTCTGGATCAGATAGACCTCAAGAACCAGCGAGCGACCTTTGCCAAGGATCTTAGCGGAGGTCAGAAGCGAAAGCTCTGCGTCGGAATCGCCATCATCGGTAACCCCAAGGTCAGTCATCACGTTTGTTGTTTCTGACAGCTTTCAGATGCTCTTTTGTAGAATATATATGGTAGAGCTGGTTGGTTGTTTGGTCAGTAGTAGAATTTATCCATGGTCCAGGGGGGTGTTTCACAAAGATTCTAAGTCTAACCTAACTCTAAGTTAGACTTAGATATTTTGGAGAGCCATTTGTAGCCTTCAAATAAGATATATTCAAAAGCGAAAATTGAAGTGTTCAGACTTTTTTTTATAAATTCCACATCAAGAACATGAAATCTCCTTGATAATAAAAGATATGAATGATATGAATCAACATGTTATGCCTTTTAAAATAACTTTAACAAAATATTTTCATAGATGCCAACGGCTTTCCATAATTGTTAAGTCCAACTTAGAGATAAGTTCAACTTAGGATCTTTGTAAAACACCCCCAGGTCTGATGGTGTCCTCACTTTTTTGGTTCTTGAGTGAAGCCAGTAGCCCTGTTGAACTATCTGAAGTGACCATGGCAGGATGAAGTAGTTCATTATGGCAGCCACACTCCAATCTTTGTAATGATAATAATAATAATAATAATGTTTAATATTTGGCAGATCCTCTTTTTGGATGAGCCCAGCAGCGGAATGGACCCCTACTCTCGACGTAAGATGTGGTCTCTTCTGAAGAAACAGAGAGAAGGAAGGGTGACTCTCCTCACCACACACTTTATGGATGAAGCTGACATACTGGCAGGTAATAATAATAAAAATAACCTACGCTTCTATAGCGCATTTCATCTTCAGAGAAAGTATTAATGCACTTTGCAATATTTATAAAACAACAAAATTATAGACAACTACTAATTCATGAACTAAAGGGAATATCAGAATGAGAACAAGCTTAATCATAGCACTTCAACATCAAGGTAGGGAGAAATGAAGTGGAAAAGGAAGACGTGGAGAGAGTGAATATTCAAGGATGGAATAAGAATGGAAGATAGAAAAATATTAAAGATAATTATCAATGGAAAGCATATCAGAGAGAGAAAGAGAGAGAGAGAGAGAGAGAGAGAGAGAGAGAATAAAATGTGAAGTTTGGAAGAACGAGGAGGAAGAAAAACAGATAGAAGGGAGGAAGAGGATATGATAGAGGTTGGAGAGAAAGAGTGAAGAGGAGTAGAGAGAGAGAGAGAAATGGGGGTGGGGGGGGGGGGTGGAGACAGAAGGAAAGAAGGAAGATTGATGGTTCTCATCATGCAAATTTCATGGATAAAACTTGCAGTAAGGGAAATATGAAATAGAGATGAGACAAATAAAAATCATTAGAAATCAGAGACGAAAGAAAGAGTTCGTCAATTGAAGAAGAAAGTTACGTATGATTAGATTGAAGAGTTTTAGTATCCATGTTGGACTACTGAGCGCACAAATAATAATAATAATAATACATTACATTTATAATGCGCTTAAAACAAAATTTCTAAGCGCAAGAGAAAGAAGAATATATTAATTTAATCTACGTTTGACCTTTTTCTTATTATTCCTTGCAGATCGTAAAGCTATTATCTCAAAAGGGCAGTTGAAATGCTACGGTTCATCCTTGTTTCTGAAAAACAAATTTGGTGTCGGCTATCGTCTCGGGTAAGTTTGGATGGCCTATGTTTTCTTTTATTTTGTTTTGAGGCAGAAGATATGAAAAATGAACAAGATGGAGAAAAGAGTGAGAGTTATTTTTTGAAGAAAAGGAAAATGAGGAAGATGTAAAAGAGGAAGAAGATATACAGGATGAGGAGACATATCAAACAAAAGTTGCAGAAGAAGAAGAGATATAAAGGATGTTTAAAAAGATAGGAGGGCTAGTAAAAGCAAATCAATGATATTTTTAATGTAGGAAGAGATAGAGGAAGGGAGAAATAAAGAGAGAAAGAGAGTAAATGGAGAGGGGAGGTAAAGTTGGATAATTAAAAAAGAGAGTGGAAAAAGAAAAAGAAAGAAAACATACAATCAAATGGATAAAAAAAAAATGACTATAATTTATTCCTTAATGAAAGTCTTTAACATGAGTGGTGACCCTTTCTCCTCTATAACATTCACCCATACACAGCCTTGTGAAGGAGAGTAACTGTGATCAAGATAAGATAACCGATGTCATTCAGACACACATTCCCGAGGCCTCTATCACACGTTCTCATGGCATGGAACTGGCCTACAGCTTACCTCTCAAAGATGTCTCTTCCTTCTCTGGTAAGTTATGATCATGAGGGAAAGTCCCTGGGTATTTTGTATCAACACGCAGGCTGACAATTACCCGATTTAAATCGGTTTCCCGTTTTGTTTTTTTTTTTTACCGAATTTTTTCTTCTTCTCCCCCCCCCCCCACCCGATTTTACCACGATTTTGTCCTTATTTTCTCTATTCTTCACTATTTTTCCCCAGTTTTCTTAATCAAAAGGGCGGAATGTAGATGCCATTTTGGTTGAGGGGGGGGGGGGGAATTTTTAAATAATTTTTTTTAGTGCTCACTATCACCCCTGAACACGTTTGCCCCTGCGACAAATTGAGTAAATGCAGTTTGGAAGAAGGACCATAATCACTAGCAAAGGTCATTAAATGAAAGGAATATTTCACCATTCTGACACATCCAAAATTATTTACATGTGGGACAGTTTCTGTGTCTACCGTAAGTCCAACTTCTTCCGACATGAAGACTGGCAGACCGAAACTATCACATACGTAAATAATTTTGTATGAGTTGGAACTCTTTCCTAATTATTGAAACCATACTACTGAAATTATTTATCAAAATACTTAAACAATTTATGTTTGTTTACATAGATATTGATTAACTAATTTGAGATTGTAATTAATAAGATTTTGGTCCTAACACCTAAATTTTCAATAGTTTAAATTCATTATCCATCACCCACTGACAGGCATGTTCAAGAGCCTGGAGGAGAAGTCAGCAGATTCATCGTTGGGCGTCCAGAGCTACGGCGTTTCCATGACAACCCTGGAGGAAGTCTTCCTGAAGATCGGAGAGGAAGCTGAGATAGATGAGGCGGATGCAGGTAAGTTCTGTTTATTCCAGAGAAGGGGGTGGAGGGTGGATGGGGCCAATAGGGGGAGGGGCAGGAGCAGGGGCAGGGGCAGGGGGAGGGGCAGGGGCAGGGGGAGGGGCAGGAGGAGGGGCAGGAGGAGGGGCAGGAGGAGGGGCAGGGGCAAGGTTGAGGAGAAAGGGACAAGGTTAATTGGAATGGATGAGTCCTGAAGAGTGGAAAAGAAGCTGAGATAGGTGGAGGTAGTTAGTCTAATACAGAAAATGGGAAGAAAGATAGATGGGACATGGAGCAGGGCCAAAGGCAAGGTTGAAGAGAAGGAGGAGTTGAGAGAAAGGGAAATCAACAAAAGAAAAAAGAAATGCAGGAAAGTGATAGCCTTCCTAAAGATAAATGGAGGTAAATTCAGTCTATTTCAGAAAAAGGGAGGAGGATGGGTGGGGCATGGAGGGGGGGGGGGGTAGGGGAAAGGGTGAAGAGGAAAGGACAGGGTAAGATGGAATCTATAGTCTTTCTGAAGATTGGAGAAGAAGCTGAAATTGATAAAACAAACACAAAGTAACTCCGATCTGTTGTAGAGATGGGAAGTAGGGTGGAATATTGATAGGGGGGGGGATGGGCAAGGTATTAGGAGAAAGGAACATGAAAAAGTGGAATAGATGACAGCAATAGAGGATCTATAGAAGATGCTCACCATTATCAAATTTCCCTTGCATTTATTGGATTTAGGTGACATCCCAAACACCCCATTTTGTTCTTACTTCCACCTAAATTAGCCTTGGAGTGCCAGCTAAAAATTCATATCAAAGACTTGATGTAAGACCTTTTTTTTGTTTACATTTCTCTTTACGACACGCATGTAAACTGCACTAGGCCAATCTTTATTGCCATTCTGTATGCTTCAAATTGACAGGAATGTATTTAAGTGGCGTGGCAATGCGAACTTTTGAATTGTCTGTTTAGACACAGAAGGGCTCTTACTCGTCATTTTAACGTAGTTAATGCTTGTCTAGCTCTAGTCAGATGATATGCAAACATAAACAAAACCTTATTCTATTCTCGTCTGTAGTGTCATGAACAGTCAGTTGATGCTGAGAAAACCAAAATAAACTTGAAATTTAAGAATGCTATAGCATGCATATGGAATGCTTCATTTTGTGATGCGAGAATTTTGAGAGTATTAGCTTTTGGGTACCTTTCCCCTTATTATTAATGATGGAATTATTTCTCTTTTCTGTTCTTGCATTTGGTCAATAAGCATGACCAAATACATGTACATGTTCGTTTTCATGAAATTTGTCATGATTATAATTGTGTCGATTTCATTTAAAAAAAACATATTTCACATTTGTATATTTCATGCTGTCAGCTAAAAGCCAGAAAGGGGTTTACTCACATCATTTTCCATACTTTGTGACTTTCTGGCTGTCAGGGAAAAATCCAAATAGTGGAAACAGATTGCCATGATAAAACAACTGCAAATGTGCTATATCATTCTGGGCCCAATTGCCGTATCTGCCTCGGGGGGGGGGGGGGGGGCATATCTATAGCAGCTGCTAAAGAAATCAACAAGAAATTTATCGTTTTAATGAAACCTACTTTTGAAAGAAAATAAGTGTGTTCCTGTGGTGCAACTATTAAATAAAAAATCATCCATCATGCTTCCAATTCATCATTAACACATAAAAAATCTTCAGAATCTCTCATGTTTTGTTATAAATTTTGTTTTTTATTTTATAATTCATGCAACGAGCAGCCAAAAAGCAAGGTAATGGAAGCAAACATGGTAACAAAATAAATTTGCATTGCATAATAATGTACCTAATGTAACTAATGGTTTAGTTTTAAAGCACTTTAATATAAAACATTTTTAATAACTCAATATAACCCCATACACTGGGCACTCTCCTTTTTTTCCCATACAAAAATAGAAATATGTTTGGGTTCCAGAAACCAGTGCTTGAAGGTGTAGAAATTGCATTTATTTTAGATGCTCTGTGCTTTTCCACCTCTTAATGTACCTCTACTTGTCAACAAATTACAACCGCAAACATGTAGAAATTATACTGCACACTAATTCTGACTTATGACAAATTTTACTATACCAATCACCAAAAACATGTCACTATACTTTAATTTGAAAATGTGAGCTTTAAATTATTACTTCTACATAGAGATACTGCTGTTTGGGTTCACTCTCACAAGAAATTAAAAATGACTTGTTGGGTAGACTAGTTGACACATGTGTACACACTTGCATAGAACAGGAGCCTAGCTATTTATGCTTTCCTTTATTTTATTCACATTATAGTGTAGCTAAACCTATTGAAAGCTAAATGTTAATGGTTTATTTTATATAATCTAGTTTATACAGATTACTTTAAGTTGATTGGTACACTGTAAAATCTTTTCGGGGGTTTTATTCAATTTCTTAATAGGCATTAATTACTCTCGACATGATGGTGTTTTGTTTGATTATAGTATCTAGACTCTCAAAAAGTTTTTAGTTTGTATCCCAGTCCCTCTGCATGTGCATATATCAAGTTTGTTCTTCTCAGTGCATGTTACAGTCTGCAAGATTGTCAAATTTGGATGTAATTTTTGCCTGTCTAAAGCAATCCCCATGTGTGCGACAATTCATATTTTTTTGCATGGTTAAAAGCATACATTTGTTTGTTTTTGTTTCTTGATGAAATATCTGTCCAAGATTATTTTGAAAGCATGTTTCTTTTATTTGGCCTGTGAAACAAATACAATCCACATTCTTATGATTAATTACCAAGTAAAATAGTCTTAAAATTGTTCTTCCTCTATGATGAAAGTCGTTTGTGACTTTGGCCATTTTTTGTTCTCATGTGCAGTTTTTGAACATACCTCGAAAACAAAGAAAAACCAAATTGGTAAATTATGATTTAAACGCACCGCACAATGTTGATTAACCTTTCCCACTGTGTTTTTGTTCTGAGTGTTTTACATTTAGCTCATTGGATTTGTGCACATTTCAACACCATTTTCACAAGTTTGAAAAATGACCAATTTCATATGGAGAGTGATAAGAGTATTATTGTCAATACCATGATTAATTTTATTATGAATTTATTATTATTATTTTTGTTGATATCACTGTTGTTATTTTTATTATTTCGATTATTATTGTTATTATTATTATTATTATTATATTATTTTAACAAATTAATTATTATACCTATATTATCTTAATAGTCCCCTTCCAGTTGTAGAAGTACAAAAACAGCACTAACATCTTGATCATGTTAATGACACAATAATTTTGTCTCCAGGGGAGCAAATATACTGCTGTATATCTAATGTTGTGCATGTTGCAAGGTACACGGTTTGTTGATATCCCATTGAAACATGTATGTTGAAGTTAACATATGTTTGAATGTAATGTCGGTGACCTTTTATTTGCAACTGTCTCTCAAAGGAGCTAGGTTAGAAGGCAGTAAGGCACTGAGTAATTTCCAGTTGGGTCTTTAGGGCTGGTTGTAGTGTTTAGTAAACACTAACACCAGCCCTATACATCGAAATGGAAATCAGCTGGTGTTAAGTCTGTGTGGCTTTTACGTGGTGTTTACGGTGGTGTTAAGCTGTCAATATTTATATCGGTATTGGGCTCTTAATTTCATCAGCAAATTGTTAGCTCTATTTAAGAGCTCTTGACTGCTCTAAACACTAACACTAACACCCAACTTGAAATCACTCAGTGTGTAGTGGGATGTCCTTATAGTGATAGAAATATTGAAAACAACTCTAATGATTGTAATGATAAATTTTAGATCAGTTTCGTTTGATGAAAACAACTACTGTTACTTTTTCATCATGGTTCAATGTTTGTTGTTTTTTAGTTTTGTATTTACCATGTGTGCTATTGCCTATTTTTGTTTAATTTACTTTTATTTCATTGATGTGCTTTTTTGATTTTTTGTTTTCTTCATATTTTGCCAATATGACACTGCATGTGATGTTTTGTCTAGAAGATAAATAACGGGAGAGAGAGAGAGAGCAAGCGAGAGAGAGAGAGAGAGAGAGAGAGAGAGAGACAAAGAGAGAGACAAAGAGAGAAAGAGAGAGGAGAAGGAGAATAAAGCAGTTTGGAGCTTTTGATGGCATGTTTATTCATGTATAACTCGTCTTATTTTCAAAAGTATGAAAGCAGCATGATAACTAAAATGTTTGCTTTATGGTCTTGTTTATCATGTCTGCAGAAGGATTTCATAGTTTAAACTGTGAATTTTATTTTCTTCCATTCAAATTATTATTTTTTAAATTGCAACCAGCAACCTTTTTGTTTCTAACGCTGCAAATTCTCATTTCATCTCTCATAAGCTATCGAAGCCACCCAAATCAATCTATCAACACCATCTAACGGAACCTCTGGCCCTGGACCAACCCCCGATGGTAAAAAATCCTCAAAATATTTGTTGTTATTATCCACTCATACTCCCTTTTCTTATTAACTTATTTGCTTTTCGCCAGATCCTGCCTACAATATTAGCACACTATTTATTTGTTCTATTTTTTTTAAATGTATAATTCAGAAGAATGGAGTGATTATTTACTTGATTGGTACTAAACTAAACCAAAGAATTACAAAACTTTTGGTCATCCTTGCTCTAACATTGCTGTATGCATGGCTTCTGCTAAGAATCGTTATTTGTCAACATTGTGCTTAAAAAAAATGCTGAAAAATGATATTTCATGCTTATGCTGTATTTTTTGCAGATTTATAAATAAAGGTTTATAAACAAATCGTTGTCATTACAACCTGAGTATTTCATGCATTTTGCTGTATTTTTTGCCATTATATGCTTGAACGCTAGTTACCTTGGCAGATTTGTTAAACATGTACGTCAGATTCTGGCTTGCCCGCACACAATGTATGCACTTTCTCCACTCCCTGGGGAGCATTCCAACAAGAGCTACTAGGCTCAAATTGCTAAGCATACCACATTGGCTTTCGCATCCTACCAGGTACCCATGTAGCAATTGGGTAGAGAGTGGCAAATGTAGATTAATGGTCATTACATTTCTATAATTGTTCTTTGTGTTGTGCAGTCCCACCAAGTGCAGTATCTGGCATGACCATGGAAGACTCTGGATCTGGAGCCGGTGCCTCTGTAACGGTCAACATGGAGCAGTCCCCTCTAGACTCCACCATCATGGCTACTCAACCCATCATGGTGCAACACAACGAACAGCTCAAGAGTCTGATCCGCATCGAGGCAGTCCGCGCTGCCAGGAACCCCGCAGTAAGTCACGCCTGTCCTTTACATTTATTGACTTCCGTGCAAGGTGAAATGTGTTATTACCTGAATAAGCCAAGTTTTCAAATGAATAACCAGGAGGGTGTTTTACACAGAATAAGATGGACTTTATTAAAGTTGGACTTAAATATGGCAGGCTGTTTGCTCTCACCATTTACTGCCATTGGTCTCCCAAGGGTGATCACACAAATGTACAGAATTTACATTTTTTGATAATTCATTATTTAAGGAAAAAGTATGATCTAAAGATCCTAATGGTGAGAGCAAACAGTGGCATGAATGACCTGCCATAGTTAAGTCCAACTTTAAGTCGATCTTAATCTTTGTGAAACACTCCCCTGTACTGAAGTATTTCTTGTATCTATGACCATACCCTGCCCCCTGTTCCTCTCACAGACGTATCCTCTGCTCCTTAAAAACCCAGTTAGAATAAAGTAAAGTAAAGTGTAGTAGTTGAGTGGTTTAAGCACTTGACTCGAAATTCAAAGGTTGTGGTTCCATCCCCGACATGGCACTACTGTCTTTTGGCAAGGCATTAATCTTCATTTGCCACACTTGACCCAGGTGAGGTAAATCGGTACCTGGCAGGTATTAATTCCTTGAAATGCTAGAACGCTGTAATGGCAGCTAGGCTAAAGCCGGGGTAATAATAGTAATAGTGCGCCTAGGAATAGAATTTCTAGATAGGTGGTGCTATATAAATGCCTGTTTTTTATCATTATTATTATTACTATAGTTATCTTTGTATTTGAATTTATTGACTTTCATGTATGGTAGAGTATGTTAATTAAATGAATAATAAAAAAAAAAATTCAAAAAAATAACCTGTACTGAAAATAGTCCATGACCACACTCTGTCTCCTGTATCTCCCCCACAGACATACGTCTGTCGACTGATCCTACCCATAATACTGATGATTGTGGGTGGTGTCTTGTCACTCGTCATCACCTTCGGTGGAGATGGACCGAGCGACGCCCCTGCCCCCCTCGTCTTCACCCCATCCATGTATTTCTCGGCTCCAGGGGCAAGTATGGATGAAAAGTCAACCGATCTGCTCTACCATAATTCACTGCCAAATGGTAGGTTTGCAATGTTTGCAATGTTGGCAAACAAATATATATTTATTTAGTATTATTTCAACGGGGTAGCCCCATCATTACTTGAAATACTGTTATACTTGGGGGCCTGTATAAACAACAATACAGAAGAAATAGATGTACATAATCATTATACTTTTTACAGGAAATTTTAGACAAAATAAACAAGAAATGAAATCAACATGACCTTCAGAGTAACCATAAAGACCGGACTCACCATTTTTGTTGACAATTACTGCTGCTTTCACTACCAATATTGTTAAGTTGCATTTTTGGTGCGTTTTGGGCAGTAAATAAATATATCAACAACTATACATGAATTATTACATGTTTATATATCCAGAAAACATTAATAAATAACAGAAATTAATTTGAGGGCAATTCTTTCAGTATCTTCCAAATTACTACAATGATAACGATAACAATAAGTACAGTGATACATTCGTAGCTGGATTCCGAGGATGAACACAACAATATTGATATAATGATCACAGGAATAATTCCAACGCAATAGCTGTGCATCCATCTGATTAAACATGTTCATTTCACTTCTTACATGATTTTGTAATAGTTCTTTTACAACTTTCATATTAAACCATTTAATAATTTGTAAAAAAAAAGGTGAAGAAATATCTTTTGGACGTCGGTGGACTGTCTGTGATAAAATTGGTAGTTTAATGGCTTTATCAGCATACGGGAGAAGAAAAACCACCTCATTACATGTGTTGTACAGACCGATTAATATCAATATATCATTTTTTGCAGGTCAAAATATAGCTGACCTAGTGGCAGAGTTTGACAATCTGAACATTGAATCAAATGCTACTGCCGACTTAAACGCCCTCTATGACTATCGACCCCACAATGGTGCCTTCGATGTCATGGATCTTGGAACGACCGTGAGTAATTCAAGAATCGTTTGAAATTACATTAGATTCAAAGATCGTTGTATTTTATATGTGCTAACAAATAAAGCTATTAATCTTGTAACCATTTTAATTTCTATGCAATCAGTTTCTAATACTAATGGATAAACTCAATTTCCCAACTCTACACCAAATTATATATTATTATAAGATGATGACGTAGATCCTAATCAAATGATTGGTTGAGAGCGTACACATGACCAGGCATTTATTTTGCCTAACACGTAATTTTGATTAATGACCAGTCATTATCAAATGCTTATGACCGGTCAAACATCATTTTATAACATCATTTTATAAAACAAATAAAACATAATCTTACAAAACAAATAATACACATCATTTTGTTCGGGCATTAGTAAAATTACCCACACTCTGTACCTTCAAAAACAGTCCAAACACCCTCGGCCATCGACTTGGGCGTGTTAGACTGTTCCAAAGGTACCCTGTGTGTAATTCTTACTAATGCCCTCACTGCTGTGTATTATTTGTATACTATATGCTCTGGCAACAATTTCGGTCAGTTTTTTATACAAATGGAAAACCGAACTTCAGCTCTAGATCAAATACGATACATTTATGTTACTGATTACCCTAACACTAAACATACAACATGTAAGTTAAAAGCCAACCTTGACCCTTGTCATTTACCTATTTCTTGGAGAAAACACATCCTAGGGTATATGTCGCTGGAGCAATGTCACCGTAACAATGTCACTGTAACAGATCATCTTTCTCTCCTAACAACTTCAGGGCTCCGCAAGCCAGTTCACTGCGTACTACAATGACACAGCCCTGCACTCGCTCCCTGTGGTGCTCAGCATCATGTCCAGTGCCCTTCTCAATCTCTATGGCAACGCATCGGTCATCACAGCCGCCAGCCATCCCTTCCCCAAGCCGGCCGGCACACCGGAGTACACCTTCACCAGCGGCATCCTCTTCGTCTACATCTTTGGCTTAGGAGCCGCCTGGAGTCTCATGGGATTCCCCATTGACAGGGTCAAGGAAAGAGAGGTAAAGAATTCATCATCATCATCATCATCATCATCATCATCATCATCATCATCATCATCATCATCATCCTCATCATCATCATCATCACCATCGTCATCATCCTCATCATCATCCTCATCATCATCACCATCATTATCATCACCATCATTATCATCACCACCATCATCATCATCATCACCATCATCAAAATCATCATCAAAATATCATCATCATCACCACCACCACCACCATCACCATCATCATCCTGTGGGTCCCCCCATGGGGGGTCGGGTCACCTTATGACTGCTCTTTAGTTCCAAATCAATTTCTCTACTGGTTTCCTTAATACAATCTATCCACCTTTTCCTGGGCCTTCCTTTTTTTGCCTTCCTTTCTTTCTGCTGCCCATCTAATCAGTTCATTTTCATCTCTCCTCTTCACATGTCCATACCATCTTAGTCCAATCTCTCTAATCTTCTCCCTTATACCTGTCACTTAAACATCCTTTTGTACCTCATCATTTCGCATCCTCTCTTGTTTTTGGTTACTCCTCTTTCACCTCTATGACATCTCATCTCATCAGGAAAAGATTTATTAAAAAGTTTCTCAGATCTAAATGAATGGGCTTTGCCTACTCAAATTGGCATCAGTTATTCTTATCTTTTACTCTTAATATATCCTTGTATCTTTATTAGAGGCTTTATCCTTCCAACAAGCATTTACAATGAATTTTTCTTATTGATAAACATATTTAATGGGCTGCACTAGAAATGTACTTGTATTTATCTGTGACTTTGTTCTTTTTGCTCATATATTGGTATAGTCCATAGCATTGGAGTTCATAAGGTAGCTGGTGTAAAAACATCAAGAAAAGACAACACGACACTGTTATGGGTTAGTTTGACTCCTCAACTTGTACTCTGGTACTCTAAGGTTAACCCTGATTCTAGGTTTGAGCTAAGTCTAAGTTGAGCTTTACAAAACAGCCTTAATAGATTAAGATATAACATGTCATTGACTTGATCAGTCTTTAGACCCAGCTGGTTTTTAGGACCATCCACTGCCTCTTGTATGCACAGGTCTTTACACAATGCGCATGTGTGTTTCTCTTCCTCCTGTAACTTCTTCTAGACGAAAGTCAAAGCTCAGCTCCGCATCTCTGGTATCGACACCCTCTCCTACTGGGGCTCCGTCTTCGTCATCGACGTCGCTCAGATGCTCCTGGTCATCATCATCGGTCTCATCATCATTTTCGCCATGCAGGTGCCCTCTCTGACGACGGGGGGCGCCGCGTTCTGTCTCCTCGTGACGGTCATCTTGTGGGTGCCCAACGCCATCGTCCACACCTACTGCATCAGCTTCATATTTGATAAGTTTGAGACGGTTCAGTCGTATGCCTTTGTTATCTTTGTTGAGGTGAGTATAGTGTTCGACTACCGTATATCTCCGTTTTAAGATGCACCTGTGTATAAGACTCACCCCAATTTCGGGGGCCGGAATTTTTTTTATTTTTTAAATTTAGAATTTTGTTTGTTTGTTGTTGTTGTTGTTGCTGACTCCGTAGGCAGTAAGCCAGGTCCGTGTTCAGAAACCCACGCGGGAAAGGACCTTTATTTTACTGCGAGGTGCAGTTGAAGGCGCCAATTTGTGCATGTGAAGTTGTCACAAATAATAGTAACAATGTTGTTTTAAAAGTAAAGATGACAGACATGTTTGTACATATGTTCTTTCATGTAACAGTTAATAATTGTAATAACCATAGAGGAAGGTATGAGTTTTACCTAGCCCATACATGTTTATTGCCCAATGATTGTTGCTCCCTCTTGTGTTGTATTTGGGGAGTTTTCTAGATTTATTGTGTACTGAGAAAAAAAATTGGAACCTCTGTAATTCTGTGTGTATCTATCTTTCTATCTATCAATCTAAAACCCTGCAAAGTATGACAGGAGCTTGTGTGTCCAGACGCTTGCCTCTGGAATTAACAAAATGTATGCATCATATAGCACTGACCATTAGAGATATTCATCCTTTATAATATTGTCTAACAGAAGTCTTAAAAGATATATGAAATATTGCATGTAAACTTCTTCAAGTTACTGTTTTAAATCAACTGTCCAGATAGGCAGATACACAACCTGTCCCAAAACACAACGTTTGGGTATTCATGTACTTACTTGTTCTTTTATTGAAGAAAAACATTTTTTCTTTTTCTTTTCTTCTAATTTTGCAGATACCATTGTTCCTCTTTCTACCCACGATGTTCATTGACCTGTACGTCTCAACGGCTGCCGCTGCCAGCTTTCACCTGGTCATGTGTGTGATCTGGCCAGGCTACGCTATCTTTGGATCTCTCTACTTCATCGACAAGGTATATAGAGGGCCCTGTTCGATTCAGCCTCACCCTAACGTATTGAGAGAGAGAGAGATAGGTTTTTATATGCCCATGCATGTGCACTCATCTTGGAACTCCAAATAGTTCCCTCTGATAATACATGAAAGTTAAATATATGTGTGCCCTTCATTAAATTGCAAAACTATGGTTTTCTCCGTACTTTCCAGACAAAATTTACCATTTTGTTTATTTTCTCATCACATTCATCGTCTTGAATCCTTGACAGTCATTTTCCTGGTTTCCAATCACATAAACCATAACACTTCCAATAATATCCATAACCAAATACCAGGGCCTGTTTCACAGAACTTGTCATCAGTGACAATAAATGACAGTTGTTATAAGCTACTGAAATCCTTGCTTCTGATTGGTTATCAGTAGATTTGTCACTGATTTTTGTCATTTGTCATTGAAAAAAGGCTTTGTGAAACACTCCCCTGTTGATGATTACTTTGTCTCTCATTGTGTTTCCATACAGGTCTACCAGCTTGCCTCCATAAGGGGAATGGCGGATAGTGTCACCTTTGCGGATTACTTTGCTCCCGAGGCGTACATCTGGCCCACAATGCTCATAGTAAGATACGCTCATTTCAATTTTGTTTTCAATCACAAGTCCTTCTCACATGAAATTAGACATACATGTTTTAATGACACCTGGCTTAAATGCTCCCCAGGGAGTGGAGAATGTGCATGCACTATGCAGGGAAAGCCTGGAACCGATGACCGGGGTAATAATATATCTGTTAAATGCTTAGAGACATCGTCAATGCATCAGGCACGATATAAACCCAGAATATTATTATTTATACAGGTGCATGTATATTGAATACTGTCTTTCAGTTAATTGCAAAGTTATGATCACTTATTTTTTTGTTAGTTGTGTTGAGTTGTGATTGATCCCATAGCCATATTGGTTGGGTGGGGAAAGGGGAAGGACTTCACTTTCTAAGGAGCAAGCAAAAGTTTTGACACTCTATTGAAGTAACAATGTGATTTTGACATCAAGATGTACAATATATTAAGCTATACTAAATACAAATACATTCAAACCTGTCCATAAAAGCCACTTAATGGAAACACTAAAAGTGGCCTCTGTGGACAGGTTGCCTTTATAGACAGGTTCTTCAACACACATTTCCATCTAGAAGTCAACAAATAGCTACATTTTTGATAAAGCAAAGTGATTTGTCCAAAGATACATGCACATTCATCAAGATATTTGATTATATTCCCTTAGTGGAAATTAAGTTACATGATTATAAACAAAAACTAATTCAAACAGTCTTCATTAAAGTTGTGTTATGAATCTTTTCTTTCCTCAGTTGGTGTTTGACATGTTCATGCTCATCTTTTTCCTGAGATTCTGCGAGGTTGTGAAAGCCGGTGGCAGAGTGAAGGACACCTGTCCTTGTCTGTAAGTGCTTTTTAAAAATCAAAATTCAAATCAGGGAGTATAGTCCATACATGTTCTGAATGTTAGGCTTCTCAAGGGAGACCAGATTCATTTTCAATTAACATTTGGTTTTACTGTAGAGACTGTGAAAAAGATAAAAATGCAGATTTGACCATCATTAAAGGAGCATGCCATCCATATGGTTTTATTGTTTTGTCTTTGTGACTATCTATCTATTAAGGGCATCTGTCTATAGTGGCCATGAATCTTGTCTCCCTTGAGAAGGAATCGTGTGTTGTAGAACCTGTCTGGAAAGGCCATCTGCATACAGGGGCCACTTCTCTGTTTCCCTTTGGTGGCCTCAAGAGACAGTTTTGACAGTACATTTACCTGTAGTATTGCCATTATTTTTGTTTAATTAGCCTGTACACACTTGTTTATGTACTACCCATTCTTTCTTTTCTCTTTAGTTTGTATAATTATCTGCGGCCATTGGAGCCCAGCCTTTGAAAGGCCAATAACCTCTGCTGGCTCCTTCATATTCTTTGTACTGTTTTATATATTTTCTTATATGTATGATGTATTGTTGAATGTATTTTTTACGAGAATTGGAAATAAAATGAATGAATGAAGAAAAAAAGATGATCTTATGGAAAATGTAATTTTCCATTATTTTATCTAACTGTCCTCTCTGCAGTGTGGCAAAGAAGATTGGTGTGACAACCAGAAATGACGACGACATCCCAGACGAGGATAGCGATGTCAAGGAGGAGAGGATGAAAGTGGAAGAGATGTATGAGTCGGACCAGGTAAGAGTAGGAGAACAGTGGTAGAGCAGTGTGGTCTCACAGCTTGAGGTCCTAGGTTCAAAGCCAAGTACAGGAAACTCTGCGTAACTCAAAATTGCAAAGTCGTACAACAAAATCGTTCTTATTCATAAATGCACGATATACTACATTACAAAATTAATGGACTCAACATTTTCTGTGATTTTTGTTTGCTCTCTCTGCTCATGTATCATGTGTAATTTTTCTTACTATTCAGGATCAAAAGAAAATTAAAAATTCTTTCTAAATGGAGACACCAAAGTTTTTCTATTTAAATTGTATTTAAGATGATTGTACAAACGCACTAAAGCCTAAAATGGATTAAACAAATGTGTAATTATTTAATTATTTAACAGTCCTCTGCCGTTGCCATCTCCGAGCTACGGAAAGAGTTTGTGAAGAGAGGCGACAGCAAGGCAACGACCAAGGTGGCTGTGCGTAACCTGTCTCTGACGGTACAGACGGGTGAGGTCTTTGGTCTCCTGGGACCCAACGGCGCAGGCAAGACCACCACCATGAACGTGGTTACAGCTGATACAGAGGCCACTAACGGACAGGTAAATCTGGGCTCATGCTGAGAAATTCAAACCCTTTGGGTGGTATCCTCGAAAGCAGACTAACTTTAGTCCATGGTTTAACTTTAATCCACAGACTAAGTATGGAATGCCAATTGTCCATATGAATATATTTTTGAATAATTTGATATGTCCCTTGATTATATTGTTGTTTATTCATTTTGTTATGACATTTTATTTTAATTTAGTGACAGATTAAATTATTCAAAAACATATTATTCTGGACACTTGGCATTCCATACTTAGTCGGTGGATTAAAGCATGCACTAAAGTTAGTCCGCTTTCGAGAATACCACCCTTTGAAGCTGGTATTCCATTTCAATATAGGTGATCCTTGCAAGAATGTTTTGTACTACTGTGTGATAACAAGCCAAGTCATTTATTTTGAATTTTTAAAATGTTTTTGCTTTGATACTCCTTTTGGTGCCACCCATTTGACAGAAATGTATTAAAATGAGATTTTGAGAGGCAAAGTCCTAACCACTATACACATGGGAACTTCAAATTGGCTGAAACGATAATGTCAATGTTACCTAGTGCTGGACAAATTTCACATTGTTTCCAATGCACAAATTTACCAAAATTTCAATTTTTCTATCTTCCCCAAAATGTAATAATCAGGAAGTATTTCTCTTGAGAGAAACCGTAACAATGTGCTATCCATAATTTATTTTGACAAGTGCCCCAAGGGAGAAGGCACTTAGGAGAAACATAATGATAATTTTTTACACGACAGACAGGATAGTTGTCTGTGTCTACGTCACAATCTAACGACCAAATTGCCAATTTGAGGTTCGGATAGATGTAGTGATTTCATGTTTCAAACATTCATGGCTCTCTTAACCATTGGTCCGACTTATTTCAAACTTACGCCATTCTGTTTATCATATTTTCTGCTCTCATACAAAGGACTTATTACATGGGTTGGATTGCCCTTTAAGGTTGATTTTATACCTAGCTGTACACAAATTATATTTGTAAGATTGATTGGTACACTGAAATCACTTACACCATCCTGATAAACTTGCTCAACAAAAATTGAAATGCATTTTAACGAGACTGCCATTATAGTTTTTATCTTGATTTTCTGCATTTCTGAATGTTTCGTGCCATCTCCCCTCATCTGTAATACAGGGACCCCCTTTGTCTGTCTCTTTTCCACTTCCTCTCTCTCTCTCTGTCTCTCTCTCTCTTTTGTCTTCCTTCTCTCTCTCTCTCTTTCTTTCTCTAATTCTCTTTCCCTCTCTTTCTTATCACTCTAACTCTCCCTCTCCTACACCTCTCCCTTTCTCTTTCTTTACACCCCCCCCCCCAAAAAAAAGAATTTGATAAACAAATTTTTATGATATGTCTGTATGTTCGATTTTTGATTAATCTTATATTTTGTGTTATTTGAATTTGAATTGCAATTGTATTGTATCTTTGTGAAATGGATCGCAATTTGGCATTTGGCTTTGATGATCTTTTTAATAAACCATATCTATCTATCTATCCTCCCTTACACAGGTACGTGTAGGAGGCTATGACGTGTCTTCGTCTTTGAGCGATGCCTACGCCTCCATGGGCTACTGCCCTCAGATAGACCCCCTCTGGGATGACATCACAATGAGAGAACATCTGGAAGGTTTCGCAGGGTTCAAAGGTATACATCCCACGGACAGGAGGCAAATCGCTAATAAGTAAGTTGAAAGTCTACAAAGATAGTGAATCCTTTATTTACAGTTAACAAGTGAATTATTGATACCCCTTTGAAAATTTGTTTCTTTGGCCTTTGTTGAATACTCTAAGATGAAAGCTCTAATATGTGGCATTCTAAAGAAATAATAATTTCTATTACATATATAAAGACCACTCAAGGGAGGCAAGAAAATGGGTCTGCAAAGGCTGGTAGTTTTAACGTGCAGGCTCCTGTAGTACATGTTGCAATGAGAAACTATTTATAAGGGAATTGTAAAATGTGGTCTTTATAGACAGGTGGTCTGTTTTAATATAAAGGTGGCCGCTAAAGCTGGTGTTATTGTACGTGAAGATGAATTCAATTTCCTTTTTTTTCTTGTTGCTCAGTTTCATGTCTGCTATCGGAGTAATGGAGCATGCTGATAAGAAAGCCAAGGAATTATCTGGAGGAACTAAAAGAAAGGTACAAGAATGATGCAACTTCTACCAGAAGTTATGTTTCCTTTTTAACGCCAGCTACACGATACAAATCGAGTGCTATCCGATTTTTAAAGAAAGCAAGATAAAAAAAAATGCGGAAATATCACTACAATCGATGTGATTAAAGTTCTGAAAAATTAAAAAGAATATTACAAATCGAAAATTTGGTTTATGTACTTGTAAGTCTTCTAGTTAGATTTAGGGCTAATTTGGCTTGAAATTGTAGACAGTTGGTATTCAGGTCAGCCATCACTTTTTCTCCTTCAAGGAATCTTGCAATTGTACTATTCATTAAACTGTTCAGAACCTTGGACATTAAGATTGAAAATCTTTCAATGTCGTAGGATATGCTATTTTAAATTATTCAAAAATTGGATTGCAATTTGATCATATAATTGTTAATTTGCCGTATTTAGGTGTTTAGAAAAGTCTCCTTTTCATACTTGGTCATTTGTGGATTTTCTTAAGGATCAAAAGGAGGATTTTTGTAATTTTGGAAAAGCTAGCTTTATTTGTCAAACCAGAGTAAATGCAGATGCAGTTTTCTTTTAGAACTTAAATGATGAATTTTATATGTATGTGCATTGTTTCTTTGGCTGTAGCTATGCTTTGCCTTGAGCATGCTGGGTAATCCTAAGATTGTTCTCCTGGACGAGCCCTCGACTGGTATGGATCCAAGCTCCAAGAGATTCCTCTGGTAAGATGGATGTGGTGGTGGTGGTGATGGTGGTTTTGGTGGTGATGATGGTGGTGGTGGTGGTGGTGGTGTTGATGGTGGTTGTGATGATGGTGGTGCTTTTAAAGGCAATGTTTCCAGTTTTACAAATCTGAGATGCATGGCCCTACGTGTTATTAATGTCTGTGATATGGTGTAATGTTGAAGCCCTAAAAAAATTGTGCTTCAAAATAATCATGAACTGCCTTCAAAAAAGTAAAAATCTTTGAGTGACGGGTTATACCATGCTCATTTTCCCCAATAGAATGTAGTGTTATAAAAACCGTTAGGAAAATGAAAAATGAAATTTCTATTTCCAATCATAAATATCTTGATAATCAGACAGGTGATCGGCTTGTAAAAGTCATTGGGTTCCTGACTGACCTAAAGCTTTATAATTATGATAGCAGCATGAGCTAAATCCAAGATTTTGTTTAGAATCTAAGGCAAAGATACCCAATCCCTTTGATGCTGTTAAAGAGAAGGTACGTTGAGTACTGGTAAAGGTGAAAAAATAATTTGTGAGCTTTCTCATTCTTTTTTATGTCGGGTTAGTTAAAAATAATTTTAGAAATGTCCCATGGAAAGGATTCTCTTGAAATAAAAAAATCTTCACCATTTTTTCCCTGAAACGACAGGAATGTGATCACGTCCAGTTTCCTGGAGAAGAAAGGAGCCATCTTAACGACCCATTCTATGGAGGAGGCTGATGCTGTGTGCTCCAGGGTGGGCATCATGATCCAGGGACAACTCAGGTTAGTCCAGGGACCTGTTTTACAAAGATCCTAAGTTAAACTTATTTCTAAGTTGAACTTAACAATTATGGAAAGCTGTTAGCATCCTTAAAAATATTTTGTAAATGTTATTTTAAAAGGCAAAATGTTGATTCAAATCATTCATATTTTCTATTATCTAAAGATCCATTATGAAACATAGGCTTTATGAAAAAGATGTGCTTTTGTGACTTGCTTTGTCTAATGGCCCTGTTGGTCCTGGAAGTTTAGAGTGGTGATAATGATCTGTTGCCTCATGCGAATTACTTCCTCCGTTCCAAGTGTTCACATAGTGGTGATGCTTGACAATTCCCTTGAACCCACTCCCACCCGACATCTAAATCATAACACATTACACTTTTAAGAACCATTTTCTTAAAGAACCAAGATACATGTATGGGCAGTAAGAACAAACTAAATACTAGACATGCATTCATGTCACAACGATATGCATGTAATGACGCCATTGTTACTACGTGTCAAACAAAAGAGCTTCTCTCGGACTATCCAGAGCAATTTGTAAGAAGTGTGTAGCCTCTGTGATAGTGGAGATAGTTAAGATGAAAGAAAGACCTAAAAAAACGGCCCGAAACAGACAAAATGGCGCTTGGATGGTCATGCATGAGTGATTCCGGAGCAGGAAGAAGGTCTTTGCAAAAAGTGAACACTCCCTAATCCTCCTTGTTTTGTTTCTGATGGGACAGTGAGAAGAACATGTTTGTACAAGAAGAAGAAATGGGTGTTGTAGGGCATTAAAACATTTCAGTGATAGTTCTTGTTGCTTTGGGGCCTTCTTTTAAATCTCTCTCTCTCTCTCTCACTCTTTTTCGCCCTTTCTCTCTCTTTCTCTCTCACTCACTGTTTTTCGCCCTTTCTCTCTCTCTCTCTTCTCTCTCCTATAATAATAATAATAATAATAAATATTTTTGCTTATATAGCGTTTAATACTTCAGGAATATCCTAGTTTCTAAGCGCTTTACATTATTACCCCGGTCATCGGATTCTGGCTTGCCCGCACACTATACATGTATATTTGCACTTTCTCCATTCCCTGGGGAGCATTCTCTCTCTCTCTCTCTATCTCTAAAATGTCCTTATTTTCTGCCATCCATCTCCTTCAGATGCCTTGGCACCACGCAGCATCTCAAGGACAAGTACGGTGGAGGCTACATCCTTGAGATCAAGCTCAATCCCGGTGTCCAGTACTACACCAGCGACCAGACCACTACGGCTGTCATGGACATACTGGACGAGAAGATGGACATCCTTCACAAGCAGGTCCTGTCCCTGATCCCCCAGGCTGAGGTCACAGAGAGCTTCGCGGAGCGCATCACCTACAAGATCCCTCGAGACAGCAGCATCACGCTCTCCACCGTCTTTGCATTCTTAGAACAGGGTGAGATGCCAAGGATTTTTTAGAGCAACTTGGTAACATTGTGAAAGATTGATTAAAAACAGCGTAATTTTTTATAAAATGTTACTTATTATATTCCTTCTTCTGTAGTAACCCTCTAACATGCAAAAAATCCTGAAAAGAATCTCAAACTACAAAGATATATATGATTTTCTTTGATGGCGTCACTGTGCAACACCTTCTAACAGTAAATTCTCCCAACCATTTTTTGAATTTTCCCAACTGTTTTCCATGAAGATTGAACATATAACAGGCTTTGAAAAATATTGCAACACTTAAATGTCTGGAATGGCATATACACTGTAGAGTCATTTCATTGCTTTGTGACGAATTACATTTATCTCAAATGTAATTAAATGGTATTGATATAGTTGGGAGAATTCAGAAATTGATCAGATCAGTTTTATAAATTTGTATCATTCACTCAAACTTTCAGATTATCTTTAATTCTACATCTAGCATTGAAGTCACTACCTTAGCACCAATTTCTCTCATCTGAACAATGTTACCAAGTCTCTTTCAGTTACAAGAGCTTGCCCGTAGGGTCTCTCAATATGAGAACTCCCCTAACCTCTCCCTTATGGCTGTATGAAGTCTTTGAGTCCTGGGGGGGGGGTGTTTCACAAAGATATTAAGTTGAACTTAGCTCTAAGTTGGACTTAAGAGTTGTGGAGAGCCATGTGTAGCCTTATAATGAAATATATTCAAAAGCAAAAATTGAAGCATTTAGAGTTTTCATAAATTCCGCATCAAGAACATGAATCTCCCATGATAATAGAAAATATGAATGATTTGAATCAACATTTTACACCTTTTAAAATAACTTTTACAAAATATTTTTAAAGATGCTAACAGCTTTCCATAATTGTTAAGTCCAACTTAGAGATAAGTTCAACTTAGGATCTTTGTGAAACACCCCCCAGGAGAACTACCCATGACAGCAGTCCCTCAAATAGACCAATTCAAGTAGAGAAATAGATGAACATGACTTTTTCTTTCCATGCAAGTGAATAACTCAACTTTTATATAATTTTGTTGACAGGTAAAGAAGATTATGGTATTGAGGAATACAGCTTCAGTCAGACTACGTTAGAGCAGGTAGGTTTCTTTGAAATGTTGGGTGCAATGTACAAAAGACTTCCATATTTGATCAAGAAAGATACACAGTTAACTAAATTATTCATACCCTTACCAAGTTTTGCAATTTCTAAAGTATGTGAAAAAATGATTTGTCACACTTTATGTTTCTTGAGATTGTGACCAAATAAAGTTAAACAAAGGTCCTAATTCAACCAGTGCAACTTTCATTCTCGAATTATGAAAACACACACAAAAAAAACACAGCAAATTTACAAGGGTTATAAATAATTTAGTTGTTTTTTCTGTACATGCAAATCAGTAAGATGTGAGATTGAAGATTGTTTGATGATGCAACGATAAGACTCTAATAAGATGGTCTTTATGTGTTTGAAATTGAAGATTTGGTACCCGCGAAGTTACAATACCAAGGGTCTCTTGCACTAAAAGTTGCATTAAACAAACAAAAAATTAATGAAATTAAACACAACTTGATCTTATCCAATTAGGATACCACTCTTGTAATTGAAGAGCTTAATTCAAAAAGGAGCTAAATCCACTTTTGATGAAAATTGAGTTATTGATATCAGAACATTGTTTACTTAAGTACCCATCTTTCAACAAAATTATTTACCTAAATTTTGGGACCAGTTATGAAAAATGCACCTTCTAATATCACTTTTCCATTGACACCTGTACATAGATAAATCCAATTTTGTGCCTTTTGGAATAATCACAGATAAAGTCATGGAGGTGATTCTTTGTTTGCCCTGTTGAAAAGATTACTTCCACCTGTGTTCATGACAGGTGCATGCATGAATAATTATTACATAACTTTCGTGAGCATGTATCCAGTATTAGTCTCAGTGGGTTTTACAATTTTGTTCAAGTGACCTTTATCTGCGCATGCTCAGATTGTATCTACGAACTGGTATATTACAGTACACTGTAATCTGCAAAAAATCTCCTTAATCAAAGTCTTAAGCTTCAAAATGGAGGGGGAAAAATTATTTGGTATACTACCTGGTAATACAATTTTCTAATAGAAAATGTAATAGTTCCTGTTTTTTTAAGCCAGATTTACCCAAATTCATGCATTGCCAATTTGCGACTGTCTCTCTTTGCAGGTGTTCATTGACTTTGCCAAGACGCAGGTAGACAATCCTGACGAGGAGGCAGAGCTGGTGACGGTAGCCGCCCAGGAGAATGGAAGCAATCGACCCGGCAGCAGACACAGTGTGCGTCATGCCCCCACACCACAGACATCGGTCAATATGGAAGTTTAGCCCCACCCCTCCCCCCTCCCCTCTTCAACCAACCCTAACCCAGCTGACACATAGGTTCTTGATACATGTGTCAATGAAGGGAGATGTGAATTGGTCCAGTAGTACTATCAACTCTCCTTCTTCACCTTTAAACTGATTATGACGCACTCAGGGTCGAGACTGAATCCTGTCTTACAGATGGTGATGTTAACTCATATCCTGCCATGAGGCTGCATGCACGCTACCGTTATAATGCTTTGTACACATGAGTGCGCTATCGATTGGCTGCTTAATTCACTCGGCGAGCCACAGCTTTGCTGCTTTATGCATGCATGCTCGCATTCGTAATAGCAGTTATTGTTCATGCTCATTGTACTGTGCTGAGTGCTTCGCACGCTCTATTGACCGCACCATCAGATTATCTCAAAATAAAATTGGCACAGGGGGGAGTTGTGGCTTGGCACAATGGGGATTAGCCCTGTGGCACTGGGCTGTATTCATTATGGCAGGATGAGAGTTAAAGGTCGGTCCCTGGACATGGATCATCATATCTAATTAACACACTTGTGTAAAATTCCAATTATGCACTCACGCATACACACACATGCACACATCAATGGAGTCGGGATGATGAATTGTATTCGCTTGATTGTATTTTACCTAACTGGTTAGAGTGTGAGTGTATTCTTGTAAATAAGTTTAATCCCCAGACATAAATCCACATTGATAATCATTTCTGATTTGACGCACTTCTGTAAAATTCCCATTTTGTCACAGTTCTACTGCCGAACAACTGAACCATCCCGTCTGAGAAGATACATGTACCCTGTACTTCTCTGATTAAAATGAGTGTAATTGAACAATTGCTGCAGGGATAATTGATGTAATCGTCAACATTTTGTCCAGTGAAAATACATATATGTTCATGTCGATCATTTTCAGGTGTAACAAATCAATGTTTCTGTAAATTGTCTTGAAGTTACATTATCTCTTATCGTGAATCAATGCTTGGATGTTTTCTTGACTATTTTATTAATGGACCAAATGTTGTTTTGCTCCATTTTAAAGCTACAGACTGTGATTAAGAATATCTTTTTAAGAATAAAGTGTATACTGTAAATTCATTGTCATTTTCTATATCAAAAAGTTTAAATTACCGGTACTGGTATATTTTTTGAAGCAGTTTTCAAAAATGATTTCTTCTTAAACTGCTACAATAGATCCATTGTTATTTTTGTGAGAAGCACAGCATTATATCATTATGCTTTTTACTAAAAAAGAAAAAGAAAAAGGAACTGTCTTTGAAAAAATATATATCTTTTATACTGATAAACAAATTACCTAGTTAGATGATTTTTTTTTTTTTATATATCATTGAGAGCATTGATTTGTTGAAGATCTTAAAATTTTGGAGAAAAATGAATTGAAAAAGACTTTTTTTACATCCATCTGTTGTCGTATTGGGCATTATGAATACAATTCCTTTACTTGTCTTAAGTCATCACCTATTTTATGTTAAATTACAAAATGTAGAAGTAAATGCATGACCTGTATGTAAATGAATTGTTATCAGGGATTAAAAGTATAAATGATTACACATTATGTAAATCAATGTTAAAAGATTCACATGTATAGAGATATCACAGCTACATAGACTTTCACTGGCAAAAACAAAGATATATTAATGTGCCTATATTTGTTTTGGATGAGCGACATACTTGAATGTATGATATTGATTATCGGACATAGTCAGGGTTACAGTTACTTATATTCGGTTTTATACAATTTGTTTGTTGTAAAGTCAATTGGCTTTAGGCCACCATCCAATGTGTGTACTAGCTACTACATGTATGTGTGATACTATAATGCAAATGATGCATTATTGCTAGCTACCTGTTGACAGAACATCGGAGCCATCTATTCAGAGTAAATTCTGATATATTGGCATTTATTTAAATATGAATATATTTAAGATATGGTTATATTTGAGATGAACTAATATATCTTTAAAGTTTTATCAAGAGTAGAAGATTGATATGAAATGTTTACAGTGTAGTCTGGATATGTGCAAATTTTACTTTTTATAGATGCATATGTGTATTTGACTCATTTTATATTTAAAAGCCAGAGCTTCATGGTACTTGGACTTGCATGGCATCAGAATAATATATTTCAAAGGTATTAATGTAGAGAATCAGGGATAAAGAGATAAGATTGCATTACATAATATGATGGTACAATTATACAGTACTAACGATGACTGTCATTCTTTGGTGATTTCTTAGCATTCTAGATACCTAATCATTTACCTCCATTTGGTCTAGTTCTTATCTTGAAATTATCGCACAAAGCACTTTTTAAAAAATTGTTCTACTGTTTAAGTGATATGTATAGTCTCCATAATTGATTGCGTCTATATCATGGAGATGGCATTGTTCACAATTTATTGGTAAACATCATCATTGCCATGTAAACATTACAAACTATCACAAAATGTCATGCATTAGGGAAATCTTTTAGACAAAATCTATGTGATTAGGATCAAATGAAAAACTTAACACTGTAGAATTGATTTTTAGAATTTATATATGTACATTTATATCTATATAGTTGAGAACCATTTGTGATAAAATGGTGCTTTATATTTTTAATGAGATCAAATGGGATTTGTTTGAATAAATGTTATTTATTGTGATTGATGTGTGAATTAACACAAAGATTCATAATTATGCTGCTTTTGATTATTAATCAAATGTAGAAATCTGTTTGCAATCTTTACTGTAAGATGTATGTATTGTGACATGTTAAATTGTATATCGTGTACTCTGTGCTTTCTATCATATTATAGATTTAGTGTTATTTAGATATTAAGTAGTACTCTGTGGTATATATTTTCATTGAAGTGTGGTATTTATCAAATGTATCTGCTGAGAACATGTTTATTACCATATATATACACTGAATGACTGTGCACAAAATAGGTATTGCAACAAGTACTAAGAGTTCGCATAAGAACTACTATCATTGTAAATTTTCACATCTATCCATTGAAAATAAATACACAAAGTAATGTTAGCGTGTGGGTTCAGACTCAACTGTGGAATGTTTCTAAATGTATTTGTATTATGACACTAGTGCTGTGCATTATATCGAAGAAAAACCTTTGCCTTTCACAGTCTTCAAATTTATACACATTGCATGATTGTTAACAATATATGCTTCTGTACTACATGACATGTTTATATGGTACACATTTTCATGGTAGTATTTAACATAATTATGTTGAATGCTGATACCAACAGAATTGTGTATTGCTTTGTACAAACAGTTGTACATCTATGTTAGTTCCCACCTTACACAATTGAATAATCTTTAGTGCTTATAGATTCTTCAAGTTTGACAAACAAAATGGCCGATTTTGAAGGGCCTTTCTATTGTTATTCTGCTTCAGTGAAAATAGCAAATCATTGATAAATATTCTAGCTCTACATGTATTATACTATGTTCATGCACTATGCTTCATCTATTGTGTTTAATGTCAATTTGTTTCTGTCCATCTATAATCAACTCTTATTGAAATCCTGTAGATTTTCTTTATATTTAGTATTTCAGACTGTCATAACATTTATTCTCTTATTATTATTATTTAGGACAATTATACAAGTCCCATAAAATTAATCCAAAATATGATTTCATTTCATCTTTATAAAGGGTATTCAGGAGAGCAGTCGTGTCATATATATATATTTTTCAAAATTGTTATTAAAGCTAACCTTAGAATGTTTTGTCTTATTAACAGCTAGTTGATAATGCTTGTCTAGTGTCAAGTTTTTGTAGCGGTAAGTTTTAGAAACAGTGATCTGTCTTTTCTAATTCAGTTAAAGCTGACCCTAACAAAAAGAAAATTAGACCTCAGACTAACATCGTCTGTTAAACCCGATTGTGCACAAAAGCCTTAATGCAACATTGGGTTTTAATTTTAGTAGCAAACAGACGATTGGGTGCAAGGAGACTTGGTGCTCATCAACCTGTTGAAATCTAAACTTTGATAAATCAACCCTTTACCTGCTTTAGTCGTCTATAAACAACCATTGGACCGCCACTGTCATCTTTTTGTCACATGTATCTCATACACTATTCAATTTGCCAGTCTGTGGTATCTTAGCAAAATGTATCCTCTTTATGTACGCTCTATGCCCCTGGACTGTCATTTTCTTAATGCTGTGACATGCTACCTGGACTTGTAGATCATAGGGAAGCATGCTAGTTAAGATGATATTTGCGATTATAAAGTAAATTGCTTGATAACTACAAATCCCATTTGGGATTTTTTAAAAGGGAATGGTCGGCAGCTATTTGTATGTAGATGTAACAAAAGGTTTCCCCAATAAAAAGTATTACAATGCTTACTTCATATTTACTAGTCTTGTGGTATGTATATTAAACTCTATAGTCTACCCGATAATATACTGTACAAAAAGTATTACAATGCTTACTTCATATTTATTAGTCTTGTAGTATGTATATTAAACTCTATAGTCTACCCGATAGTATACTGTACATGAGGAAAGTAGTGAAGTCGGGAATACACTTGAAACCATTAGATTGCAAGATATACCGGTATTCATTTCTTTTCTCGATGTCTGTACTAACCACACCATTCCGCACTACATAATGGTAAAAGTAGTTTTCTACAAAATGATCAGAAATTTGTATTTTATTACAAGAGTACTAACATTTAAATATCATTATTGTTGTTCACAAGAAATGGCTATTGTAATAAAAGTGGATCGTTTCACCAAATTTTTCTTGTGTTTTCATGTGGTATTGTGTATGTGTGTGTGTGTGTGTGCGTGTGTGATTTGTTTATGAAATAAACAAAAAATCAAATCAAATTATATATTATATAATTTCACTTTCTGTATAATCGTAGGAGATCAGCCTGTAGATCTTGTTACCAAACTCTGGGAACAAAGGTTTGAAAGTGTTTTTGTGTTCCCTGATGAATACCGAACAATTTTGACTTGGGCTGCCCCCTTGAAAATCCCGGGAATTTCCGGGAGGGGTCAAAGGGGTCAAACTAGGGTCAAAATTTAAATTCCAATCGTGTCGGTTTGCATATCAAATTACTCGTCTAGTCATGAGGTTTCAAAAAGTGTATAGTTTGATATACCTCCGAGGGCTCTAGGGTAAAAAAACCATTGAAAGGTCAACACACTTTAGAGTGGTGGTCAAATTCACCAACACAGTTAACATTGTCCGATTATAATGATTAGTGTCTAATGATATGTTTTTTGGCATTGAAAGTTCAAATACCGTTATACAATTTTCGTAAATAAAAAACTTTCGTTGACCATGAACATTCAAACTGGCTGCCAAAAGGGCTAGGCCTACTGCATGAGAGACTTGAATCAGGACCCTTGACCAACAATAACACAGTTAAATATTTCCAAAGGCATTGTCCAATGATGCTTATCCTGCTTTATTGCACAGTTTATCATCCTACTCGGTGTTTTTTAAAATCTCTTTAGATTAAACTTCATAGCTTCCTAAATAATATTCACTCTCTTTTCTCTCTCCTTCCCTACGGCTTCCTCTCTTTCTCTTCCTCTTTCTCTCACGTCCGCCTATAGTGTTCCATACTTCAAGTTCAAGTTCAGTTTATTTCACACATCCAATAAAATCTTACACTTACTTGTATATCGATTATCTACATTTTTATTTCAATTTCTTCATCCATCAAGTAGGTCGAAAGAGATGGAAAGAGAAAGAGAGGGAGAAAGAAAGAGGGGAAGAGAGACAGAGAGAGAGGGAGAGAGGGAAAGAGAGAGAGAAAGAGAGAAGGACAGAGAGAATGTGGAGAAGCTTGAGAGGAAAGACATACAAGAGCAAGAGAAAAATTCAGAGATCCGTTAAAATAGGGGAAGTAGAAGTAGAGAGAGAGAGGGAGAGAGAGAGAGAGAGAGTTGATCTATATGTATATTAGTATGTGAATATTGCCGAATATGAAGAAAAACAATTACCATCATTGTAAATATGAACAATTGAAAGAGGAAAAAATAAATGAATTGAATTGAATTGATTTAACAATTGCTGGAAAATGCATGAAGATACAGGTTGGTTGATGACGCGAGATTTTCCTTTGTGGTTGTTTCGTGGGCGACACCATTGCTACCCAGCCGACTTGAATTTGGGCACTCCTTTTAGTCATATAAAATCTCCCCGTCAAGTCGGCCTGATCCGTAAAAAAAAAAAAATTATTGAGTTTATCGGTAAACTTTAACTAAGCATGACAATGTCTGCGAATATCCGCCATAGACAACGAGCTGGGGACGTGATTCGGTGAGTTATGTATTATGCAACTTGCTCGTCTGAGTCCGACACATTCAAAATGGTGTTGTTGGAGCATAGCATAGCCCTCGGCGTATATCATGTATATGCACACATAGTCATAGCTGCCTTACTATCCTCCCTGGCTGTGTATTAAAAGCTGTGCTATTGATTCTCAACATTTCAAACACCACTGTACAAAACTCAACTGATTTTACTCAAAATCGGTACTTAAGTGACAATTAATGACACCTAGTCTAGACCTAAATCAGAATAATGGGTGGGTGCAGGGAAGTGGAAGCGAAGAGCGGAAGCTAGTTTGACGTTTCCTTAATTTATTAGAGAAAGAAGACGATTTGTTGTACCGTTCTCGACTCTTATTCCTTGTCTGAATTTTAAAAACTAATATTTGAAGATCTGCTTCCAGGATTGCGATTCCCTGGTAGTTTAACAGTTTAAATAGATCGGATACAAACAAAGATAATGAAAACCGTACATGTTCTGTTCATTTCATGACACATTGGAGATATGTCAGGAGAATTGATGTTCCCTTTATTTAAATTTGAAGTTATAAGAGTGAATGAATGTATTACAAAAACAGTACATATGAAGCTTGTAAACATCAGCCTGCTTATGTGGAAAAAAATAACTGATGCTAGACACTACCAAAAAAAAAAGAGTGGCTTCAAGTGTACCTAACCATATGCACCTGTCCTCAATAGTTTCAGGTGTGATATGTGTTTGTTTTTAAAACCGCCTGTACTATTTCTACAAGTTTGGAGAAATAATATTACCAGGTGATAGAATTTTTATTCATATTCAGCATGAGCAGGTGTCCATGGGGACTTATTTCTCTACATAAAAAAACTTGTTAAATACAATTTTTAAATCCAAATTTCAATGGACAAGTTTCATCAGTCGACATTTATGATGCTGTGACATTGCTTCATAATTCCAAAACCAATCTGTTTTGCAATATCTTCATGGAAAACATGAAACAGAATATTATTATTAAATATGTTAAGGTGTATCATACATTATTTTAGTGTTGTTGTTTTCAATTGTAATTTAATATAAATGGAATTCTAATTCACGATTTTACTTGCTTTCTTTGTTGTAAAATTAAAAATTAATTGTAAAATAAGTACAATCATTATTGTAACCTGTGGCTGTGTGTTTATTTCAGGAACTTGAAAGTGGAATCATTCGGGGGTCAACAGGTTCTGGTGACTGGGGGAGCTGGGTTCGTGGGCGTTCACCTCGGAAGGGCACTGCATCTCCTGGGGTCAAAGGTCACGCTGTTTGACAAGGCCAAACCATTGGAGGACTATGACCCAGATATCAAGGTTGTCCAGGTAATATGAGAAAGGTTAAAAGAGACATATAAGGGTACACATATGCATCTAATGTACAAGGAGATATATAGGTGGATGAGAGAAAGAGAGAGGGGGAAAGATGGGGGTGGGAAGTGAGGAGAGGGAGAGAGATTAAAAGGAAGGAAAAAGAGAGAAAGAGATAGAGAGAGAGAGAGAGAGAGAGAAAAGGGAGAGGGAGAGAGAGAGAGAGAGAGAGAGAGAGAGACAAACAGAGGGGTGAATAGAGAGAAAGAGAGGGAGAACATTCTTGACAAAATTAATCTTTGTTTCAGTACAAATTGAGAGGTAAAATGTGCAGAATCACCATATATTATGTATATATATCCTATTCCTTAGCCACTTTTATTGGATTTTAGGACATCTCTGATCAGTGGTGAGGCATTCTTTTATGTTGAATGGTATTGGGCCCTCTTTCAGCATACTAGTACTCATTATCAACGACACAAGTTACAATAGCTGTTATAAGCTACCTTCATGCATTTATTAAACAAGTTTTGTGAAACAGGGCCCTGATGTTCATAATGTACATGCATGCATGCAATATACTTAATTCATTAATTGCTATTTATTTTTTATTGTTTTTGTAGGGTGACATCAGGGATCGAGAACTACTGGAGAAGTTGTGCGAAGGTGTTGACTGTGTGTTTCACATAGCTTCCTATGGGATGTCTGGCAGGGAAATGGTTAGTATTAGAGGCCCTACCAACAAAAAACAAAAACTTTGTCCCAAGTAAAATGGTTGTACTCGGCAGAATCAGACTTGCAAGAAGAAGTACTGGTAGATTTCTTCTGTATTTTATAGTTTCTAAATTCAGTCCATATAAAAAAGTCTGTCCAGCCAGACAATCCAGTTCCCTCTCTATAAACCCTCATTTTCTTTGAATATTTCCATATTTCTTCAGTTCAAGAGTTTTATTACTTAACCTTAAGTAAGTTCAGACTAAATGTCATTCATAAGATAATTTTATAATGAGTTAATCATTTATACCATGAGATACTTATCTATGCCAGAGAATCTTAAAACGTGATCTCTTAGGAAATGCAGGTATTACTGAACAAAATTTTAGGGGACTGATGAAAAGGAATCTATCTTTATACTTTTTCAGATTTTATCAACATTATATTTACTATTTCACTAATGTTTTTTTAAAGAAGAATGTACTTTGTGATGATTTACTATTCAGTATACAATGTCAAAGTTCTAATGTTAATGTGTGGACTGTGGACTGAATCGTGTGGTTTGCAGTTCGAGTTCCACTGCCTCACTAATGTCCTTTGGCAGGATATCAATCTACATTTGCCACTCTCCACCCAGGTGTAGTAATTGGGTACCTGGTAGGAAGAAATTCTGTAAATGCTTGAGTGCCTTATCATGGTAGCTCGTCTAATACCGGGGTAATGATATGATTGTAGGGCCCTCAGGGAGAACAGGATTAATACTGGAGAGATACCCTAGGTAAACAAGACATTTAAAAAAAAATATTACTATTATTCTTATTCTTATTCCTATTCCTATTCCTATTCCTATTTCTATTTCTATTCCTATTCCTATTCCTATTCCTATTCCTATTCCTATTCCTTTTCTTATTCCTATTCCTATTCTTATTCTTATTCTTATTCTTATTCTTATTCTTATTCTTATTCTTATTCCTATTCCTATTCCTATTCCTTTTCTTATTCCTATTCCTATTCCTATTTTTATTCTTATTCTTATTCTTATTCTTATTCTTATTCTTATTCTTATTCTTATTCTTATTCTTATTCTTATTCTTATTCTTATTCTTATTCTTATTCTTATTCTTATTCTTATTCTTATTCTTATTCTTATTCTTATTCTTATTATTTTTGGTGTTGTTGGTTTTTGTTATTTTTAATATTATTTATAATTGATTGTATTCTCCTCTTAGATGAAAGCCTCGGACTTCATCGAAAGCATCAATGTCGGTGGAACAGAAAACATCGTAGAGGGTGAGTCAGATGTGTGCAGCAAGAAAATAAATGATAATTCTAAATTTGGTTCATGTCGCACTTACCTTTTCTAAGAATGAAAAGCATGAATTACAAATCCTCTTGGTCTGATGCCTAAATTTGGCACAAGTCTGAGTTTGCCAACACCCCATTTTAACATTTGTTATAGAATTAATACACATTTCTGTATGATTTATATGAAGCTAGATTTATAATGGTTTCTTGCAACAGCTGTGTTTCTGAACAAAATATGGGAAAAAGCACCAGTTTTCCTAATACTTCACTGTTCATTTTTAAGTTACTATTTGAAATAATTGTATATATGTATAGCTATTAGCTTTGGGGCATACAACTTGGAAAATAAGTAGGATTCATACACTTTATATATTTGTATGTAATTTATTTACTTTATTTATACACTTTATATTTTCAGAGGTGATATTCTAGTCAATTTCCATTTCGTGATTATCCATTTCATAATTATTTCCATTTCATAATTATCCATTTCAGCCTGTATCAAGCAGAATGTACCAAGACTGGTTTACACAAGTACACACAACGTGGTCTTTGCTGGACAAGATATAGAGAATGGAGATGAGTCGTTACCACTGCTTCCACTGTCCGCGGTGAGTAAATAGTGTTTTCACCCCCTCCCCCACCCATTAGCTTGGCCCTGTCCTCCCAAACCATTATCTGCAAATTTATTGATAAGACGTCGACAACCATAATGATTAGGATGATGATGATACTACTACTACTGCTACCGCTACTGCTACTGCCACTACCACCACCACCACCAACACCACCACCATTACCACCACCACCTCTACCACTACCACTACTACTACTACCACTACCATTACTACTACCACCATCCTTAAAAAAAAATTTAAAAAAATAAAAAAAAATCAGATTTTGGAGAGAAAAATCACATTTTCATGAAAACTCGACACTACCACTGGCCCGTCGGCCCCGGGCCAGTAAAATTTCAGAAAAATGTTTGCTCTTTCATTAGAATTTATTGAGAAATTGTAAAGCAAAGTTTTTGTTGGGGTTGCGGGGGTTTACATGTTTCTATGCGATTCCGCTGTTTTTATGGGTTTAAACATTTTCTTTTTTAAATCGTATTTTAAGATTTTAAGATGGTATTTCACTCTTATTATCGTACTAAATACGATTTAATCGTACTGGTTGGCATCTCTGTATCACTACTACCGCTGCAACTACTACTACTACTTCTACTACCACTACCACTACTATTTATATTTTACTCCTTTTTGGCACAGCACAAAGATGATTATTCAAGAACAAAATCAATGGCCGAGCAGCTTGCAATGAAATCAAATGGCAGGGAAACGAAAGGTGAGAATGGATTTATTTGAAGCGATTACACTGTAATTATCATAATCTATTGCTTATGGGAACCAAACAGTTCCTTTATTAGAGGCTATGGCCCGTATTCTGAAGTCAGGTTTAACTTTAAACCTAGGTTTAAGTCTAGTCTAAGCCTCGCCTAACTCTCAGATTTAAACCTAGGTTTAATTTTGCGTTTCTGAAGTCGGGTTTAACTTAAACCTAGGTTTAAGCCTGGTCTAACTCTGTGGAAATTGTACACATATTTAAACCTGGGGTACACCTAGTTTAAGTCTGGCTTAAGTCAGGTCTAACTATTTGTTGGATATTCAGAGGAGAAGAAGACAACATTAAAAGACATTACGACGAATTATTGCAAATAATGAGACCGGAGAGAGCTCTTGTGGAAAGAAAAAAACCTTTCACAATCATGGCGACGATGATTTGTTTGTCATCGCTGTCTTTTTTTAAATACCAAACAAACAGCGATTTGCATTGACTCCAACATTGGAGAGACACACACATCGCTTGCGGATAAAAGTGGGCCTTGCGATTTTATGCCTTCGGCAAGTTTGAACATTAATTTGGATACTTCATTTGCTTATTGAATCTTTATGCCTAATATTTTCTAAGTCTTAAGATTTTATATTTTATATAAGATTGTGTGATTTGTATAGTACGACAATCCTTGAAACTAAAAAGTTGCCAAAGTAAATCAACACGTATCACTTTGTTGCAGAGGAAAACAAATATAGCAGCCCCATACCTTTAGTTTGACGTTATGCTCACGTAGTTTTGAAACTGTGAGTGCAATACACATTTTCAAATTGCGTCCCAACGATGTAAACAAATGCGAGATAAAATAAAACTGTAGGCCTAAGGTTGGATTAGAATAATCTATATTTATAAGACAATCATGGATTAGTATAATTAAGAGCTGACGAGTGTATTAAGCCGGAACTCTAGACCTAGATCTAGTAGAGTTTTGGGTAGAATCTGCCCTAGATCTAGTCTAGACTCTAGACCTAGACCGATTAGGCGCGCCTAGTCTATTTATATTATGATGTCAAAACATCGAGAACATCCTTAAGATGCCCCGAACGATGCACTAGAGGTCTAGATCTAGATCTAGACCTAGGCCTTAATAAGATTAAAATGACTGAAAGAGAAATGATCACAAATACCTTCTTGATGCAGAATAACTAGTCCAAAGTCAACATTGAAGCTCATATAATATGGTCGAATTTTAAGCGTTTTTTGTTGGGACAATGCAATATTTCTAAACCGTGTGTACTTGTACAAATGAATGCGCGCACGATCGATGATATGCGCGCACGGTGACCGAGAAGGGGATCATGATACCCGACATGTCGGTTCGAAAAAGGATTCCATTGTCCTAAAAAAAAACTAAAAATCAAACAAATGAGCTTCAGCAATGTTGACTTTGGACTAGTTATTTTGCATCAAGAAGGTATTTTTGATCATTTTTAGTTTATCTTTTAGTCATCTAAATCTTATTTAGAGCATTTTTATGTTGTTCTGGAAGTTTTGACTAATCTGCATGGGCATGCAGAAATTGTAGAATCCCGATTTTTGTATTATTTATTATTCGTAAAGATCAATTCCACCTCGATTCAGACTTTTTCAGCAGTTTAACAATAAATCAAAGGGTAAAACAAAACAAAAAATCACGTCATAACGTTCAATGGTTGCTTCGAAAGAGATTTGTTTGTGTCGAATATTTTGAATTGAAATTATTAAATTTGCAGCACGAAATCCAGCTATAACAAAGCCTATAAAGGCCATATCAGCTACCCTTGAAGATGGATGAGCTGTACTGAGCATGTGCAGTAGAAGCAGACTACATCTCCATGGTAGTTAAACCTTGGCTTAACTTTAAACCTGGGTTTTAGACTTAAACCTGGGTTTAACTAAACCTGGCTTTCAGAAACTGAAATGATACTTAGACCTGAAGTCTGGCTTAGTTAAACCCGGGTTTAAAGTTAAACCTGGGTTTAACTAAACCTGACTTCAGAATACGGGCCTATGAGAACGAGATACTTCAATAGCCAAAAGGTTTATATAGACAAAACAGTATATAAATAGAGAGGATTGGTTCTATAATCGAAGCACCATATATGATTTTTTTTTTTAAATGCATAACGATCATAATTAATACAGATTTGTGTATTTTTGCATAAGCCTCGTTATTGAGCTACGGTAGGAATGTTGAGAAAAAACTTATGGAAATGATGCAATACCTCATAAGTAGTTAAACAGCATCAAAGGTGAATAGGAGCTGCGAAATATTTGAAGTAAAGTTATTACAAAATTCTAGTCTAAAATGAAAGAAATCATAGGTTAAGATTTGCATTCCACATGACACTTTTTTCCATGATTTGTTCCCATCCTGAATGGAATAATTTTGAGAATTTTAAAATCATATTTTGTGATAAATTTCACAGGAATAGGGTATAATAGGAAAGAAAATTACCCATTAATATTTTCATCCTCTATTTTAGATGGGAGCATTCTGAATGTGTGTGTTATCAGACCTGTAGCTATCTATGGTGCCGGAGAACAGAGACATTTCCCCAGGATAGTGGTAGGTGTTCGCTTGTTTAATGTTTCCTTTTCATCTTGTAAACAGATATCAATAATGATACATTAAAAGGCCAGGTTATTTTGGTGCTCTCTCAGCCTACTCCGTCCAGTAGGGACAATTTTTTTTAACACTTCGCAACGGTCGAGGCATCTGCTAATGAATAAGCTGAAGAATTTTTCATATCTATATCTTACATGTTTTTGTAATTATCCCTAAGCGTAAATTACACACTTGTATTTAAATGTTTGTACATTTAAAACTTTGCATTGTGTAGAATTCAGTATTGATAAGGAGTAAGTTCATTTTTTGACAATGTGTGATATTAAACTATTAAATTAAAAAGAATTGTATAAATTTGGTATCAAAAGATGCGTAAGAACCTCGGCCATAAAGTCGTGACAGCTTGTGGTACAAAAAAATAATCCTGAATTATACCATTGCACGCATTTGGAGAGGGATGGATTTTGTCACCGCCGGCCCTCTTCCAGTTGAACGTAATTGCAACCCTAAACCCAAACCCCTATATCTTACCCCCCAAAAAGCCCAGAGCACTTTACGATACAGGTCTTCATATAGAAGTATCTGCTCCGTCTTTGAAAGGCATTGTTTACATCAATATGTTTGTAAATGTTGTATTTATGTTGTAGGGCCTCCAAGGAAAACAGTATTTAACTACTGATGGAGCTAATACAGTACTAATAAATAAGTAAAATAAAGATAAATTTTCTTGTTTTTGCAGAAAAATATGGAGCAGGGCCTTTTATGTATGAAGATAGGAGGCTCCCACATCAAGGTTCCATGGGTTCACGTCGACAACCTGGTGAATGGTCATATACTAGCAGCTGAAGGGTTATCGAATCACAAAGAACATATAGCAGTAAGTTAATTAATCTCTATGCATTGTTTTAAAGTGGGTCGTTCAAACATTGTGCAGGAAACCGCAGTGGTTTTTTAAAGATAAAGTTGAGTTATGGTCATGCTATTGCAATTTCACTGTAAAAGAAACGTGGAATCGATCAGAAAAGGTTGATCATCTAGCATATAAGTATTGGTGTGTACTGCAAGGTTCTGGAATCTTCAAAATGATAAGAAATTTGGCCAAGTCTTGGTAAAGTAACAAGCACTGTACACAGAAAGATGTATTTGTGACTACACAAACATGTGGCATAAAAAACTGTCCCGATTTTTATGATGTAACATGCCATATTTAGGATATTAAGGCATTTGAAGCGCCATGCTTTTCAGGGAACATTTTCTATCTGATGTTCTTCCACACTTGCATAATACAATGATAACATTCACAAATTATTTTTCACCTCTTCCCAGAACTCAACCTTCTCTTCAAATGTGTAAATGAATTGCAAGTAGTGATGGAAAATAGCGCACAACAAATGTGACTTTGCGTAATCACTAATCCGAGTGTTAGAGGATGCAGAAATGTGAAGTGCATTTATACCTTGCTTATTTTCATCATTCAAAAAAAAAAAAACTGCAGCAGTTTTTTGCATCATATGTGAATGAGACTTAACACTACTTCCGCTTCAGAGAGGCAACAGAAGACAAATCTCAGTGGACAAATAAAATGTTTAATTTTCATCTATCAAAAGAAATAGAACAAGCATTGGCCATCATTGTACATATACATAATTTTTGTTCAGAAAAGATAATCAGGGAAAGATTGTCCATGACTTTTATGGCTTCATGCCTGATTATACCCTAGAGAATGTAAAGAATTTTGAGAATATGTATATATACCTTTAAATTTACTTTATGCTCTTTAATTAATGATATTGAAAGCATACCGTATGCCACCATGCAAGCACACTGGTGTTTTCATTGAGCCTACAATGTAGATGCAGTTAAATAACTGTCAAATGTTATGATGGTGAGAGAAAAGGGATAGAGATTGGGAATGATGAACATCAAATGAGAGAGTAAGGTAGTATGCATGAGAGGAAAGAAAAGTGAGGATATAGTGGGAGAAAGAGAGATGGGAGGAGGGGGAGAAGAAGAGAGGGGAAGAGAGAGAGAGAGAGAGAGAGAGAGAGAGAGATTTGATTGGCCAGATAGTCGCAGTTATACAGAGTGCCTCAAAGAGAGGATGAGAAAGAGAGAAATAGAGAGAGGGGGAGAGGGAGGAGTGGGCTAGAGAGAGAGAAAAAAAAGAGAGGAAGAGGGAGAGAGAGAGAGAGAGAGAGAGAAAGTGACAGACATACTGAGTGAAAGTTAGAGTGCATGAAAGAAAGAGAAAACCAATTTGCATTGACTTCAGCATGTACATCCTCTGGTACAATACATTGATCATGTACCTGTACATCGCTTGTAAATGTAATGCCACATGTATGTATAATTGAAACTTGACAAAAAAAATCACCATAGCAATGATGTCTGTATCTTTCCTTTCAGGCTGGTCAGGTGTACTTCATAGCTGACAAGGCTCCTGTAAACCAGTTTGAGTTCCTCCGTCCGCTTATAACCGGTCTAGGTTATCGTTATCCATCTCTTATTGTCCCTGTATGGTTCATGTACATTGTAGGTGAGTTTAAGTTCCTCCGTCCGCTTATAACCGGTCTAGGTTATCGTTATCCATCTCTTATTGTCCCTGTGTGGTTCATGTACATTGTAGGTGAGTTTGAGTTCCTCCGTCCGCTTATAACCGGTCTAGGTTATCGTTATCCATCTCTTATTGTTCCTGTATGGTTCATGTACATTGTAGGTGAGTTTGAGTCCCTCCGTCCGCTTATAACCGGTCTAGGATACCGCTACCCATCCCTTATTGTCCCTGTGTGGTTCATGTACATCGTAGGTGAGTTTGAGTTCCTCCGTCCGCTTATAACCGGTCTAGGTTATCGTTATCCATCTCTTATTGTTCCTGTATGGTTCATGTACATTGTAGGTGAGTTTGAGTCCCTCCGTCCGCTTATAACCGGTCTAGGATACCGCTACCCATCCCTTATTGTCCCTGTGTGGTTCATGTACATTGAAGGTGAGTTTGAGTTCCTCTGTCCGCTTATAACCGGATTAGGTTATCGTTATCCATCTCTTATTGTCCCTGTATGGTTCATGTACATTGTAGGTGAGTTTGAGTTCCTCCGTCCGCTTATAACCGGTCTAGGTTATCGTTATCCATCTCTTATTGTCCCTGTATGGTTCATGTACATTGTAGGTGAGTTTAAGTTCCTCTGTCCGCTTATAACCGGACTAGGTTATCGTTATCCATCTCTTATTGTCCCTGTGTGGTTCATGTACATAGTAGGTGAGTTTGAGTTCCTCCGTCCGCTTATAACCGGTCTAGGTTATCGTTACCCATCCCTCATTGTTCCTGTATGGTTCATGTACATAGTAGGTGAGTTTGAGTTCCTCCGTCCGCTTATAACCGGTCTAGGTTATCGTTACCCATCCCTCATTGTTCCTGTATGGTTCATGTACATAGTAGGTGAGTGTTCAAAGTGAATTAAACTGTCTTGTGATGATGTGAATTATGATGTTAATGATTGTTGGGAAACAACTGAAGAATGTCCAACCACACAACAAGTTTCCTGAACCCCGATCCCGACCACACTCCTGAACCTAACATTAATTCTAACCCTAACCCCAAACATGGACCCTAACCCTAATCCTAATCCTAACCCTGACCGTAAACCTGGCCCTAATTTTAAGCCTGACCAGACTCTCTCTCTGTAATTCTATCTCTAACACTGAACCCAACATTAACTCTAACCCTAACCTTGACAATAATATACAGGTATTGTACTGATGCACATTGAGGTATTGTTTATTAACCTCAGTTTCATACATCTGATCCCTTTTCCATTTGTTTCCTGAACGCTTTGAGCGTCGGCTTTGTCAGTATCCAAAGTGTTAGATATCTATCAAGCTACCAATATATTTAATTTGTGGTACAAGTCTACTTTTTCTAAACATCCTCCAGTTGTTAATACAACTGCTACTGGATCTGATACTAGACCATGCCCACATTGACTCAAATTTTCCCCACTCCAGCTGAAATCCAAGTCTTGCATGCCAGTCATTCTATCAATTTATTTTGATTTGCGAGTGTCACCCTTATAAAAAAAAAAAACTACATTGATTTGTACACACAATTATAGAAAAATTAGACCTTCTTTTGAAGTGGCATAGATACTGTTGTATTTACTTTTTCTTTCCGTTTTTGTTTTATTCTGTAGCTCTGCTAAGTGAATGGTTACATACAATCCTAAAACCAGTCATCAATTTTCAGCCCTTGATGGTGAGAACAGAGGTAAGAGCAACTTCCCTTATTTGTAATTTTGTCTTGAAACAGTGAAACCTGTTTATAAAGACTGCTTTAGAGAAGCATTAAAAGTGGACTTTATAGGCAGGTGGTCTTTATGTACAGGTTCCTGCAGTATGGGTTTCAATGAGAAATCAGATTAAAGGGGTAATAATAATAATAATAATGGGTACTTTTTAGAGGTCATTTTTCTTAAAGACCAAGATCGGCTTTAAGTTGGACTTAACTATGGCAGGCTGTTCATGCCACTGTTTGCTCTCACCATTTACTGGCAATGGTCCTTCAAGGAACATACAGATCATGGTCACAAATAGACATAATTTACATTTTTTGATAATTCATTATTGAAGGAAAAAGTATTATCTAAAGATCATAATGGTGAGAGCAACCAGTGGCATGAATGGCCTGCCATAGTCAGGGGTGATAGTGAGCACTAAAAAAAAAAATAGGTTTTTTGTTTTCCCCTCAACCACGCCCCCCTTGAGTAAAAAAAAGAGAAGAGGATTCGCGGGGAAAAAATGGCATTTAACAAGATTTCCCCCCTTTCGAGTAAGAAAATTGGGGGAAAAATAGGGAAGATTAGAGAAAATAACGGGGAAATCAGTAAATTCAGGATAAATCGGAAGAAAGAAGAAAAAAATCGGGAAAAAATAATAATCGGGAAACCGATTTAAATCAGGTTTTTATCAGGCCTGCATAGTTAAGTCCAACTTAAAGTCGATCTTAGTCTTTGTGAAACACCCCCCAGGTCTTAATGTACTTCATCATCAGCCTTTCCCAGATTGCTTCCAGACACTTTCTATCACAACGCAACTGCACGAACAGAACTCAACTTTTTCAATATTTTTCATTTTTACTTCCAACAGCTGTTCCAGGTTGCAGTCACTCATCATTTCAGTATAGAAAAAGCCAAGAAGCAGCTAGGGTACGAACCTGTTGAGCGAGATCTCACCGATATGGTCCAGTACTTCCTCGAGCGCGGCCATCGGAAGAAGTCATCGTCGATCGGAGCGTTCCTTTTTACCGTGATTCTCGCTGTTCTATTTGTGGTGCTGTTAATGTCTCTTCTACCTCTAGCTGAGTGATATACATGGAGTGTTGAACCTTGAACCCTGGTTACACCAGGGAGGTGTTAGAGAAGGAGTGGAATCAAGCCGCTCTCCTTTGACCCCATGCTCCAAGCCGCCGAAAAGTTATGCGCAAATCTGCAACTGTTGACCAGGTGGTGAGATGAAAGAGCGCATGGATTACCAGGATTTAGAATTCCTACCTCACATAATGGTTTTTTTAGCAAATGTCCGCTGTCCCTTTCGATGATTTCTCATCTATTGTTGAATGTGTAATGAGTTAAACAAGCGAACACAAACTTTTGTAATTTCATACTTTTGTTCAACTGCAAAAACAAAAAAAACATGCAAAAGCATGCAGTAGTAAACTTTAAAGTTATCAAAGATTGTAAATCATGGATTAAGTGATGGGGACATTAAAACATGCACAAATAATCGGATTATCCTAAAATATTGAGTTTTTGTCAGGATCTAATTTTTCTTTTCCCAACTCTGGCACACACCTCCCTGGTTACACCAACAAGACCAATCCCATGCCAAGGCTTTCCATGGAAATTCATGGAATGATGGAAAAGATTTGTTTCATACAGGTGTCGGATAAGAACATTTTTGCAATAATTATATTTAGGGTGAATGTATGATTGACAATTTTCTTAAGGGAAAATATGTATGTAATTTTTTTTTTAGTACAGGGCAAATGGAAGTGGACCTCGTAAGATACGTCACACAGTTGCCAATTTGGGGGGGGGGGGGGGGGGGGGGGGGGGCTTCTGCGCTCATTATAGTTATCAATTCTGATTATGCCTCTCAGAATTTTGTCCAATCTTGCAACAACTACCACCTGCTAATGACCCCTCCCCCCAAGAGCATAATACTGAAGATGAGAACATACAAATGCCCCCCCCCCCCCCAACATCAAAATACAGCATAGAAAATACATAAAGATAGTTTAATGTACCTGCATTACAGTAGTTGTCTATTTTAGGCGGCTGGTCGAATAGGTGATACATGCACGTGTAGTTCTATTTTATGTATTCTGTTAAATGCAAATGTAAAATTAATCATTATGTCGTGTGTGTGATCAATGTTTCCTTCAAATAGTGCATTCAGTGAACTAAAAGAGAATTAAATTATTTGTGGCTCTGTGGGTAGTCAGTATTGAAGAAAGTCAGCTACATGTACTTTAGCCCTCAGTATTATTGATATTTATGCATTTTACTAGTAAAGTTATTTTGAGACTTGAGAATTCAATTAAATTATGATATTTCATATTCTGTGCAAGTATCTGTGTACTCGATGACCATGGGGTACTGATGATAATATTGTGAAGTGTATTGAAGTATTCATGTAATGAACTGGGCCCTGTCTAATACAAAGAGTTGATATTAATCGCAACTTATTTGCGACTATGTACATATTGAGAGATAGGAGACTGCAAACTTGCTATTGATTGGAGGACTTGCGATTGATCGTAACTATTTGTTAGACAGGGTCCAGATGTATAGTTATTTTCTTACTATGAAGAGACTTGTATAATCTGTATCCTATTTATCTGATAATTTATTATTCATGTGAGGTAATGTTTAATTATATGTAATTCTGATTCCTCTTTTATCCCTCTCTCCAGCTCATGTATTTTTAACATGACTATATGCCCCGTCTCCCTCTCTCTTTTTCTCTATATCTATCTACTGCCATCTCTCTCTCTCTCTCTCTTCATCTCTCCATATGATATCCTTAAAATACCTCGTTCATGTTCAGTGACGAATTCTTATCTCATTATGTAATTCGTGTCTTTTTTTTGTAACCTGGATGCGCGTTTCCATTTTACACAACAGCCTAGGGAACATTCATCTCTGCTTCATATAAACATGTGACGCAAGAGTCTAAATTTAAATGTATGAGCAGAGTGCAATGAAATAATAAATCGCCTCCCAAACATGTTTATGGAACATGAAATATAGTAGCTGGGTTTCTAACTTTCTTTCCGTATGCTGATAGTACGATATAAAACTGCAATAACGGTATTACCGACTGCAATTTGAAATTTGAAACAAACAAAATTTATACCATTCATTTACAATTAGAAAAAAATAAATCAATTAAACAGATGAGTTAGACTCCACTCTTCTAAAGCAAAATTGTTATCAAAGATTCCCCAGGCTGTTGTGTAAAATACAAAGGCCCTTCTTGGACCCCATGGAAGACCAGAGGGGTGTTTCACAAAGATCCTAAGTTAAACTTATCTCTAAGTTGAACTTAACAATTATGGAAGCCGTTAGCATCTATGAAAATGTTTTGTAAAAGTTATTTTAAAAGGCATAAAATGTTAATTTAAATCATTCGCAATTTCTATTATCAAGGAGATTTCATGGTCTTGATGTGGAATTTATAAAAAGTAAAAAATATTTGAATTTTCACTATTGAATTTGAAAGCTACAAATGGCTCTCCATGATTTTTAAGTCCAACTCAGAGTTAAGTTCGACTTAGAATCTTTGTGTGATGCTGGTACTGTAAGTCCTGTCCAGGAATTTTGAGTTTTTAACAGTGTGCAGTATTGGGACCAAGAATGACTACGTCTTTCTCTCTGAAAATCATTGTCAGGTGAACAAGGTAGTTTTTTAAAAGGTTTTTTTAAAAAGGCAGCTGTAATAATTTTCCCACAGCAGTTATAACCTAGTTCGATTCGGGCCCCGTTTTTTATTACAGAAATAGTTAATACTCTTGTCACGTACTGTACATATTTGTACTCTACCTAAAATAAGGCCTACAATGTGTTAATACTTTGAAATTATGTTATTAGATTAAATGTATTTGGAATTTCATTTTTGTATATGATTAGTTATAATGTGACAACAGGTTTGTGGACTAAAGACGTACTTTGTGTGCTCTCTGAAGCAACTGATAATGATAGCATCTTTCCAGTGATAATTGCAATTATGTGACATTATTGTGCAAATAAATCATTTTTATACATGAAATTATATCTCCAGTTTGTAAAAGAATTTTTGAAAGTGATCTTGCAACATTTATTGACACAATAATGGTAGCATACAAATGCATATTGTGATTTTCATTATCATCCTTCAACTATCCTCCCCCCCCCCCCAAAAAAAAAAAAAAAACTTACTCGACAAAATATACACACACATGTACATTCAACTTTGAGTATCTGCTTTTTTTATTCTCATTAGAAATTTTCATTATTACAAAATAGTACTTCCTCTTGTCCACTTTAGCACCATAAAATGGAATCGCACACATATATGTAGTAATACAGAATTTGGAAACAATTAGTACAAAGTTTGACAACATTACAAAAGTTGGAAGTAAATATTGAATACTAATGCCATAAAAATGATATGGTGGGCAAAGAACATACAGTACATACATTAATAATACTTAAAGTTAAGCAATCATAAGCATAAATAAAATGTGTATTATAATACCGCATACCGGTATACTGGGCTATATCACGATTCATTGTTTTAACACTAAAGCCTCATTCAGATACTATGCCTTCACTACAGCATTTTATTTCCATGATTAAGCATATTATGCTTTATGGCATTATAAAAAATATATATAATATCATAATGTTATAATTTGATGACATTTATAAGCATAATAAATATCTGCCAACTGTTGCAAAAAAAATTGTTACAAATTTCCCACCCTCGGTACGAAATTACCCATAATAATAATAATAATAAGAATAATAATAAGAAGAATAATAGTGGGTTCTTGTATAGCGCTCATACCTGTCAGACTTGACACTCCTGGCGCTCACAATTATTACCCTGGCTTTATAGCACAGCTGCCAATACGGCGCTCTAGCATTTCAAAGCAGGCGCGGGTCCAGGATTTCTTAGGGGGGGGGGGGGGGCCCTAAGCTAAAAACCAAACGTGCGCGCGCTCACATTTTAATAGCTGAGGGAGGAAGACTATTCGCATAACGCACAGCTAGCTGTATTTCACTACATACGCAGTATATATATATATATATGTACATACATACATGTACACATGAACAGAAATTTGGTACATGCATGCGCTAGAGTTGAATCCACCGTGTTGTGTTGTTGGTTTCAAACAGGAAATCGTTGTGAATAAGATGGAGCGCCAAAGGGGACTTCATTACATCATCAGGAAAGAGTAAACATCATGCATTTAGCAAGGTATTTCGCCGACAAGCAGTGGACAAGTAAGATGACAGAGAAGAATGCTTCTGGTGAACTGTGCTGTGACAGACTTGCAAGAGTAATGCTTGGGATTCTAACCATAGCCCATACAAATGCTGAATGTGAAAGGGTCTTCAGTCAGGTGCGAAAGAATAAAACTGACTTCATAGGGTCCATGAGCAACGAAACTCTAGAAAGTGCCCTTATTACTAAGGAATACCCCCATACGTTGATGATCAATGTAATGTACGGTATGTAATGGTTGGATGAGCATTTAACACATTTGGCAAAGCTTTGTAGGCTTTGTGGCCAAATGCTCTCCAAACACCCTACATCATTTAACATAGGTGATTATTTCATTTGAATAAGTGGGTTTGTTTCAGTCGAGCCCGACATCCATCCCAAGCGATTTTGCAAGGGGTGTTACACAGGCATAAAATCACCCAGGAACAAATGGGTGCCAAGAGCAATCTGAGCACCACACGAAACCAAAACTGTGCAGTTTGTTCAGATTCTAAAAAAATGTTGGAGGGCGTCCAAAGAAAAAAAGCCCTGGAGAGTATTTTTACCACATGGTCACCATATATGGCAATTTCTATCGCAAAGGCTTTATCCATGCATACCAAGTCCCCATTTCTCTCCTGGGTATGGAGTGGCAAATGTGGATTAATGTCTAGCCAAAGGACATTATAGTACTGTGTAAGAGAATTGCACAAAGAAATTAAGAATTTTACCCTAAGTTTAAGCATCATACCCGGTATGCTTAAAGTTCAAGCGAAAGGCTCACAACTCATTTTCAAAGCTGTAGATAACATGGCAGCATTAATTCATCGCATGCACACTAACTATCGAGACTTGGCGCGTGCACCCTGTCAATACTTACGGAATTGAACTTATAAAGAGGTACAGATTCGATAAAGAAGGAATAATAGAAATTACAGAAATGATCCATGATGACATTGCACCCAGGGTGAATAGAAAACATGCCATTCAGCCCGTTGAAGAGTGGTAATATGATGACGCCGTGCAGTGCGTGCAATGCATGCAGTGGAGAAAATTACAATGGAATTTCAACATTATTTATGCAGAGACATGAACATAAATGTTGCTAATCATCGAGAGATGTTTTTTCGACAAAATATTAGACTTGTGCTGTAAACAATCAAGTGACTTACGGTAATAATATTGAAGTGAATCTCTGGCTAAACGTTGACTTGGCATTCATAAAAACTTTTGCGTCTATATTCTTCTTAATCATATAATACAAAACTTACATCATCTGAATCACATATTACAAAATCATGTCAGATAATATGTAATTATTCATTTTCATATATCCCTGTTTTAGCCAATCAAAACTACAATAATTTGTGTGGCATCAGTATCAAGCAAAGATTGCTCGAGGACAACTATAAGAAGGAGGAGTGCAGTGATGGGGAAGATGAGGAAGGTGATTCTCTGGGGGAGGAGGAGGCCCAGCAGAGAGATCAAATCCAGATCGCATGGGGCCCTACCGGAAATATTGGAACCAAACTGGAATAAGTATTCCAGCCGA